GAAGAGCATACCGGCCTCACGTGATAGTGGACAGGCTCCGAGCCCAGCGCATAGCGTTCTGTTCCGTTGCAGAGTGACTGGCTACACATTCAGTTGGCAGCTGGCGCGGGCGCCACGGGAGTCACATGACTCGCGGGAGCAGCTTCGAGAGGGCTAAGTTCTGCTTGGACGGGGATCACCCAAAGCCTACCCGAACATTGCCCTAATCATGTCATCTTCGGATGAGCGGCAGCGTTCCACGGTGGCAGTGGTGGAGAAGCCCAACACGAAGTCTGGCACAGGTCCCTACACACAGCGTTTGCAGGGCAGTGTGCTTGGCATGGTACGACAAGTGTGACCAGGCAAGTTGCTGCCAGCAAAAGGCTGCATATTTACTGAGAGTCAGGCGAGGCTGATCCGTCCGTCGCTGAGAGAGGTCGCAGATGTCGACCTGGCGGCAGCACCTGTTGACCGAGCCGAGCTGCCCACCCCCCTGGAAGCTGCCATGCTGCGGGCAGACTGAGGCTCAGCATGTTCTGTTGCGAGGTTATGAAGGCCACAGCAAGTGTACCGGGTCACGATTTATGCTCTCAAAACTCTCAAGGCTACGTAGGATGGGCTGGTGTGCATAGGTCGCATAGGTTTCCGTTATAGGAGCCGTGTAAAAGGACATGGGACAGCCAAGCAGAGAATGTTGAAGTACTGCGCCTGAAAACGATAAAGCGATAGGGTACGCTGTCAGCCGAGGCCTGCACAAACATCGAGTTTCGATGCCAGTGCAAGTGCTGCAAGTGGCCGTCAATTCTTTCCTCACGTGTGGTTGGGCTGCCTTCGCACGCCCTTCCAGGATGAAAAAAACCTTCTGCGATGCATCCATCTGAGCTCGGACTGAAGAACCCTCATCAATACCATCCACGCCGAAACGAAGCCATGCTTTGGAAGCCTTGTACATGAGGGTGACGCAAGTGCCATGATTGAAGTCTCGGATTTGAGGTCAGACATCTCAGCACATTTTGAGCGCTGTCCCCCGGCGCAACACTTGAGTGCATTCTAGCACCGTCGTTATTTACAGACAATTTGCAGTGGGCTCCCCTGGATATGGCCCTGACTGAGAGTGTGTAGGACTCAGGCCACCCGGGGAGCCATTGAGTGCTAAGCGGGGTGTGCTCTCTCCTCCAGGTGTGCATTCGCGCCGCTCAGAAGCCACACGCGTGTATTTGACTTCCAGTCAGGCTGGACGCCGAGCAACTTCATGGACACGGTGCTCCCCTTGACTGCATGCAGGTAATTGCGGCTAAACGTGGCTGTGCCAGAACGAGGTTTTCGCCTTCCTACTTTGTCACGCTTTGCAAAGCACTGCAAGGCCATCACATGAAGCCAACACCCGGTGCCCAAAGTCCCCCGTAGGCTTGACAAGAGGATCCCTAAGCGTCATCTGCCGGCTTCTGGAGTGCGAAGCGGCACGATGCTTTTGCAGGCTTCTGGCACCTTCAAGAAGTCCTGCCCGATGCTGATTGCATGCGACATCATCAGTGTCGTGTCGTGCTTACTTTCAGAGAGGGAGACAATATAGACCCCGCGAGGGAGGAACGACGTCTTGGCAGTTCCTGGTCTGTCGTCACTTCCCCTTTGTAAGTTTTGTGACAGGCCACCATGCACCTCCAATGTTTGCTGCCAAAGGGATCCCCCCCTCCCCCTTCCCCTATTGTACGGAAGCCCTAGACCTTAAACCGCCTGATTTACGGAGATTTTACCTCCATGTAGAGCTGAGAAGGAGCTTGGAACTCTCTCTGTCTGGGTAGTGTAAAAGGGCCCATATGTACCCAAATTTCGAGACTACCGACCCAAAAACCATACTGGCTTCTAGGCTTAAAGCTTGGGGTCTAGGGTAGCGGGCCATAAGCGGTACGTAGAACCCTACACCTTACGAGCCCGAACTGCCCTGGGCTTGAACTAATTCGGGCAAGGCGCCTTTCCAAAGCGGAAAGCCTCACTCCAGCACGTGCTGGCAGCGGCAGCTGGGGGACGCGCCCGTCAGCGCGAGTAAGCTTGCTCGCTGCGGAATCCTGCGCCCTAGCGTCCATACAGTGGGCACCCAAGCAGGGATCACGGGGTCAAGAGAAACCCCGCAGAGTGTTGCCGTCCTGAGACGGTGAACCCGAAGCTCCTGGAGCCATTTTCTCGGGGCCCTGGTAGGAGTTGTGCTAGGAACCGAAGAGCAGGGACCCTGCACCCCGCAGCTTCCTGCCATGTTCGGCTTGTCTTGCGCTCAGAGGTTCCCAGTTGTCGTGACTCGCACTTATGACGCCTTGTGGGGAGGCACAACGGAGCAACATGCCATGACCCTTAACAAACTTCAAGTCATAGCGTTCTCGGCACGGAGCTCAAGGGTGTGCTATGTTTCTGATGTCCTGGGTTCAGATTTTTTGATTTATGCATTGGGACAGAAACATTTTCACTGCCCCGTGTGCTACCTTCAAGTCTAGCCTCCAAGACTCACAGCTCTGCGCTAAACCCCAGCCAGCAACGCTACGGACAGAGCGTAAGTGCACAGTGGAATTTCAAACTTCCCGAGCCGAAAGGATATATCTTCCTCGGAAGATGCGATGGATTGGGCGGATGCCTGTCTTGCTACAAGAACATGGTTGAGGCACTGCCCATGAGGTTTCCATACCTTCTGATCCGGTTCATCCTACTTGGTTAAAGATGAGCACAACTTCTGCAGAATGCTGCAGTCTTTGTTTTGTATGCACTTGCGGCACTGGCACCAGCATCAGCTTCAGCTTGCTGAGCTGTTGAACAGTGCAGAAGTGGTTTCTGATGAGGCTGCAAAAGATACGGGTGCCTGTTAATGAAGGAGTTGCCGGCCCGGAGCGTGGCTGTGTTGGATGTGGACATCGTGCGCTAGCGCTTGCTTGCGCTTGCTAGCGCTGGGAGGCTGTGTGCGTGGTTTGGAGCCGCCGTGTTGATGCCGAAAGACCCTGTGCCAGGTGTGCGTGGGCCGCGTAACCTCTGCAGTGTGCGTTCTTTCGGCGCATGGCAGCGCGGCGTCCCATTGAAGGCTGCAGCATTTGCAGGAAGGTTTGCAGGACACCATTTGGATTGTATTGCCTGCACGCTTCGACTGTCAAGTTGATGCTTCTGTTGCTTTCTGCGTGTGTGAGCCAACCTGCCGACCGGTGGACGGTCGTTGCTTTGCGTGGGTCTGCGCCTCCGATTCGGCTCGCCCGCAGGGCTCGCAGTGCTCGCAGTGCTCGCAGTGCTGGCCTTCTTCTCTCGACCCGAACGAGGCTTGGCAGGGCAGGCTTCCTTCGCTGCCGGGGGCCCTCGAAGTTAGGCATGTTTCAGATCGGTTTAGCGGGCATCCTATTCCTGCTAAGCATGCGTGCATCTCCCGAAAAGAGTCTTGCGCGGCCGACTGTGCGGAGACCGCGACGCCGCCTGCAAAGCCTATACACTTGAGCAAGTCAGCTTGCGTCCTGTGGCCCATCCGATGGCCATTTGAGGAAGGCAAGCCACGGAGAGGGCCAGAAGGCTTGGCCTTCGCCCTTCGCCTAATGATTTGACTCTTCAAGCTGGGCTGTTGACCGACTCGCCAGGCCGGCTGAGGCTTGGCTCCGGCTTGGCTGCGGCGTGGCTGCGGCGTGGCTGCACTGGCTGCACTGGCTGCGCTGGCTGCGCTGGCTGCGCTGGCTGCGCTGGCTGCGGCTTGGCCGTTCCCGACCGCAGCATCGCAGTGTAACCGCCACTTCTTGGAGCAGGCTGCCGGGGCAGGTGGGCTTCGTTCGTGGCTGTGAAGGCGGCGAGGGCGACGCTTCGGTCATGCGGTCATGTTTCGTTTGAGTCTGTCGGGGGCTGTGCGTCGTTGCACTTGCACCAGCTTGCGGGTCCAGGCAGATCGTCTCAAGCCACCCAAGCCGCTCATTGCCGCCAAGCCCTCAGCAGGCAACACCCTCAATTGCGCCGTTCCTCGGAGCCCTCGCACCTGCAGCACAGCCTGAAATGGTTGGGCCAGAGCACTTCCTTCATGAAGTTCCGGCCAAACCCCAAGATCCGAACGCGAAGGCGCCTACTCTTCCGGGATTCGGGATCTTTCGCTTGTCCTTTTCATCTTCGACTTCCTATAACTAGCATCTAGCTCAAGGAGGCTTCTTGAGAGACAGCTCCATCCGGGATCCCATCGCCTTCAAAACCAGGGCTGCGCTGTTAGTCGCCCGTCCTCGAGGCTAAGTGCGTAAGCTGCAAAAGGAGAAGCTCAAAGTTTCTTGAGCTTGCCGGAATTTTCCCTTGTAAATCGAGGAGAACCCTACAACCCTACAACCCTAAACGCCTGGCTGCCTTGTCCTGCCGTGTCGGGTGGCTGAATTGGGGCAGCAGCACCGGCAAGTCTTGAGCTTCCTTCCTTTTGGGCAACATGTGCGTCCTTTTTGCGCTTTAGGCACCCTGTTCGTACCGTAGCGTCGAGCACCAGGGTGGAAGGATGGAGTGCTCCCAGAGATTTGAGCCAGACCAGGAGGCGTTAACCCGACGGCGGCCTGTTGCCGCTTTTGCCAGGAAGGCTGCCGCCAAGTCCTACCCGGTACAGTGGCGACGGTCACTTGCGTGCAAGTGGGAGATTCGAGCGGCGATGAGGATGCAGGCAGGGTGGGTTCTGACAACGTTTCAGTTGAGGCTTCGTCGTTGAAGTGATGATGCTGGCTAGTGATGTGTTTCGTGCACATATAGCAGTCTTCATTGTGGCTCAAGTGCATGTCCAGTAGTGATGTTGATCTGTTCGGAAGTACTGATGCCTTTCTCAGGTTCCATCGCGCCATGCCGGAGCGTTGGGTGCCGGCCAGAGATGAGGAACATAGACTCGAGGATGAGGGGACGTGCATGGAGAACAAATCAGAATTCTACAGGAATCCCAGATCGGGCAAGAGCTCTCACGTCAGCTTGATTGGCATCTCCGCCCATGCAGCGGCCGTGGTGGATCTGAGGAAGCTGACAGGGAAGCTTGAGACTGGAAAGAACAGGCAGGCATGAAAGAGCCTGAGGAGGAGGGAGAGGAGCAGCGGCAGCAGGAGGAAACTCCCCTCCACCCGATGAACTGTTTCGAGGGCATGAATTGGCGCCGTTGCGCAATTAAGGGCAGCAGGTGCCCTCCTCGTAGATCCAAGGAGGGTGATCTATGCAAGGGCTGTGAAGACGAATCGGGCTGCATTCAGTGCCCGGTCTGTACAGAATTGCACAGAGGGCGCGAGATGACAGGCGCTGAAAAAGCTGTTGAATTTTGCTGGTGCTCATGCTTGCGTCTTAGCTGTGTCAGGTGGGCTGTTCAACGATGCCGGAGTTTGGAGATGCACGAGGCGGTGGGAGTCAGGGGTTGCCCTGATGGCTTGCGACTCGGGTGGTGCTTCTGACCTTGCGATGCTGCGCAGCCGCATCAGCTCTTGATGATTTGTCAGAGGCATTTGGCCATGGCCCCGTTCCCACTCCATCGACAACTCCTGTCCACTTTTTCGCTATTGAGAAGGTAGCCCGCGTTTTCTTTTTTCCTCGCTTCGGAGTCACCTGTCCGTGGCTTCCGCACGTGTCCCTTCCGGCCTGTGCTCTGGGGTGCCGCGGTGGGGTGCAGGGCGGGGGCCCATTGAAACCCAAAGCAGCCCGAATCAGGTCCAAACGGCGTCCGCCTCTGGACCTTTGACACCACGTTTGTATTTTCAGTGGGCGATCCGGCTGGGTGCCGGGGTCTCGGATTGAGATGTCGGAGTGGGGTTTGCAGGGTTTTGGGGTTTTAAGGTCCTGGGAGCCGATGGTGCCAGGCCAAAGGGAGCTAAGCAGTCGAATTGTTGCTTGTATTCCCTCCCCCAGCGCACGTTAAGGACAGCTTTCGGGATAAGGCGCCAAAAAAGGGCCGCATGCCCTTCAAGGTGCACAGTAAGGTTTCGGGTTTCAGGAGGAAAGGGGGTTGGTGCACGCCTGAAGCGCCTGCTTTGTCCGGCAGCAAGATGAGGTTGTGATGCCCCGGCAAGCTCGTTCAGGTGGTGTGCAGGGGCATTGCGAGAAGGCTGTCGTCTGCATGTGAAGCGTGGTGTACAGAGGCAATGCGAGAAAGCTGTCGTTTGCATGTGAAGCGTTTCGCCACTCCCCCATGCCTCTTCGGGCAGCGGCTATACAGACCTTGAAGTCACGAAGCATCAGGAAGCGCCGGCGTCTTTTGCATGGACGAGGCTCACGCTGTAATAAGGTTTCACACTGCAGTAAGAGTAATGGGTTAGGTTAGGCACGTGCACATGCCGTCAGAGCGCATCTTGGGTTTGTGACACTGGGTGTTTGACGTTTCCATTTCAGCTAAGCAGCTAAAGCTTGGCTGTAAAAATGGTAGCCCCGTGCTATGCTGCATGCCTGCCATGTGCAGGCCAGGTGTTTTGGCAGCATGGCTCGTCCGCTAGACAGCCGGGTGCAAAAAGCCCTCCGAACAGGCGCCTTTGTGAAAGCCAGCAGGGTGTTTTTGAGCGGTGGGAAGAGGCGCCTCTTCCACTCTGGCGAGGGCGACTTGCCATAGCTGCAGCAAACAGGGCAAACTCTGCCGTTCGTGGAGACCAACAACTGTAGTGGTGGAGCAACTTGGGGCCTCGGGTTGTCGACTTGAAGGTTCCTGCAGGCAGGCCTTCGTGCGGCCATTGTGGGGGTGGCCATTCTCTTGGTTTGAGATGGTGTGTGCCTGTGGCTCGTCAAACTGAATTGATTCCAGCAGTCAGCCCGAGTCATGCACGCTGGCCTGGCACACTCCAGAGATGCGTGCGACGCAGGCAACATGCCTGAATGGTTTTGGATGCCCTGGTCGTCAGTAAGTCTTTAAGCCCGCATGGGTCACCGAATGGAGCATAAGTGTGGATGGGTGCCTTTGACGGGTGCCGGGATGCGGCCTCCTCAACTGGTTTTTAAGGGATGGCGGGCCCTAAAACCCGGACTTTGCGCCCACTCGGAGTTGAGGGGCGGCGGGGTGCCGTTTTCAAGCACAGCTCGCGTGGGTGGTTGCAGTATTGGTGGATATCTTGACATGAAGGCAAGCCGCAGCAAGCCCCGCCAGGCCATGTAGTCTTGAAGGGAGATCGCCATGGACGGCAAAGAAAACACTTGCAAGATCTTATCGTCGTTTGTCATGTCAACCTTCGTCATTCGAATCACATCAGATTGTGACTTGCAGGGCCTTCGGTCTGGGTTCTTTCTTTAGGGTTCCTAGTTTACAGTCCATCTTCTACGATTCCTATAGTTGGATAAGGAGAGGAGGTCTAGGGCTCACTTGAGGAGGGGCTTTGCAGGCTTTTGGTGTAGGTGTTGCACGGCATCTGAGGGGATATACTGATATACCCATACTTACAACATCTGTCTGTAACCTACTATTCATTTACTTGCTTGTGGCCTTCATCATCTGTCAGTTGTGGTCCATACGAGATGCGAAACATCCTGAACGTCGTCATGTACTTGAGAAGCACTTCGGCAAGCGCGTTCGACCTGTGCAGACGGAGTTTGGGGAGTTTTTGTTCACGACTTTTCGAGGTTGCCGCATTCGTTAGTTTGGAAGTTTGGAGTCTATTGATCTTCGTTGGCGGCACCAGCGCAGATGATCCTGCGATATGAGTACAACCAAGAATGTGTTGCAAGCGTGCTAGGCTAATGTGAAGTTCTCACCGGTTTTAGATTGTCAGAAGTTCGTCTTTCAGTACACAAAAGGGTTTAACATGCCAGCATCTAAAACTTCGACCGAAGCATGGACCAGCCGGAATTTGTTGTGGCTGTGGTGGGCGCCGGATTGGCTGGGCTGTCGTTTGCCGCAGCGTGGGCACAGGTCGCTCGTGCAGGATCTTGTAGGAGCTTGGTTCGGCTTGACACGATACATTTCGAACGCTATGTTTCCAAATGTTTCTAGGATGCCGGCAGTCGCAGGTTCGGTACGAGGCGGTGGCTTGTGTTTCAAATCCATGCTCTCGTTTGGAATGTTGGCTTCCAGGGTGGTTGTCTTCGAGCAGTCGGTGGTGCTGGAGCGCGTTTCGCTTTAGAATATCTGTCTCTTGCGGGTAGACGATGCAGTCTGCAAGCATGAGACTCTGAGAGATCATCTGGCATTGGTTTTCTCATGAACGGGATGCCAGGACCCAGGAGCATTCCGTTCATTGCCCTTGGCGCACTCTGGCTTGAAGGCATGCGCATTTTTGTTGTTAGAAGTCCATGGTCTCAGTTGCCAGACAGGCCTTGCGACAGCTAGGGTTTCCTTTGGCTTCCAGCCAAACGATGCAGGACCGGCAGATGGACGTTCATGTTGACCATTTCAGTGTATATGAGTTTTGGCAAGTGGGCAGGAGGTGCCTCGCCTCGAACTGTTGCAATGGTTCGAAGGCAAGCTGCCAGATGCTATACATTTTGGCAAGGCATTCCAAGGCCAGCGCCTGAAACATGTTCAGTGGCATTCCCTCCATTTGTAAAGGTGTACAGCTGAGTAAGGGCCCTGGAGCAGGTTTTTCAATCGGTGCGGATGCCGGTCACGGCAAGATCTTTTGCAGCTTCCAAAGCAAAGAGCTCGGAATTTCTCGAGTAGAGGCTGGAGCAGAGAAAACGCAGATCATGTCTTTGTCACTGTTGTCATGAGCCGCTTTTCGGCCACGGAGTTCAATGTGATTGGCTTTGCATCCAATGGTGACTGCTTTTGAACATGTGGAGGGCGGGCCTGGGTCAAAAGCCACAGGGGCAGTGTACATGAAGTATGCATAACGTGTACCAGGACCTGTGTCCTTTCAGGAGCCTCCCAGGCATGTCAGCGGCGAAAACGTGCTTAGGACAATGTGCTAGGATCTGGCGGCTGTAAGGGGGCTTCCAAGGCCTTTCAAGGGCGAACACGTGCTTTACCAGAAGCTAGCAGAGGACAAAAACGCGGGGATCTGAGGCTTGACATGGGGGCTAGGTCTTTTGCAGGTTCGCACACGCCTTAGCAGGGTCTTTAGGGGCCAAAACTGCCCAAGACCACGTACTAGGACCTAGTAGGTCCTGTCAGGGCTTTGCTCGCGAAAATGCGCTCTGGACAATGTACTAGGACCTGGGGGCCTGCCAGGGGCCTAGGGCTTCCCAATGTTCAAATAATCCATGCAGCCCTGCTGCAATCCCTAATCCACACACACAACTTCAACTGAACCGAGCACAGCAGGCAAGAAGGTTTCTATTTGTTCAAAAATTTTGGCAGGCCTGCCCTTTAATAAAGGGGTTTCTAAATGTCCGCTTAAACAAATCGTCGCCGAAGTCTTCTCAGCGGTATTCCATGTTGATGTACATGACCAACACTTGCAGGGCCCGTTTGATGTCCTTGTCGCTGCGGATGGTCTTCGTTCAGATGTTCGGTGCCAGTGTGAAGCAGTCATCAATCAAGGTGGGAGGGCTTCACTGCTTCACCGTGGGGCAATGCTGAATCTGCTTATGGGATCTTATGGGCATTTTGATCATTGCAGGGCCTTATCAGCTTCGGAATCTTTTCCTGGGTGGATCGGTTCTGCTCCTTGGGGATGCTCGACGCGTTTTTCGCAATGAGCGACCTGAGACGCATCGAGCACCTTGAAGACTTTGGTGGCCGAATTTCTGAAAGCAAGGCCATCACGTGCAGATTCTCTCGCGCAAACGGGTCTGCCAGCGTCACAGCTGAGGCGAGATCTGGGATTTGGCCGAGTTTTTGGTGGTGGCAACAAGGCCATGGCAGAAGGCGCCGATCTTTCGGTGTGTCAGATATCTCTGAGTGTGTTAAGGACGTTGGGAACACGCAGCCCTGGCCTAGGTGTTGAGTTGGCGGGCTCCTTGTTGGAGGCCATCGCTTGCAGTGCCAGGCATGGACTGCGGCAGTGGTCTGCGGCAGTGGCACTGACTTGTCTCAGTTGTGGCACAGCTGTTCTGACGATGCGCTGGAGAGGCCTGGAAGCGATCTCGGAGCTTTTCACGAGGTAACGTGCTTAGCAATGCAAGCCTAACGTGTCGCCACTGTAATGATGTCGGCATGTGGCAAGATCCAGCTGTCGCAGTTTGTGCCCTGCGACCTACCTTTGTGGCAAGAGGCATTGCAGCACGGAGCTCTTCCTGCCTACCATGTCACGGCAGCCATGGGCATTGCACAAAGGCACGGTTGTTGCTTGTTGCTTGTTACTGGCGTGGGCTGGAACGCTGTGGGCAGCAATGTGGCGGCAGCTTCATGCCGGATCGTATCTGTTGTCGGGCTGCTTCTTCGGCGTTCTGTTGGAATGCAAAGCAGGTGGAGAGGGCGTTGCCGAAAGAGACTTCGGCAGCTGTGTGATGAAGACGGGCTCAGTGACGAAAAGCGGCATCCTCTAGCCAGTTCATGCTAAATATTGTATGTCTTGAAATGTCTTGACCGCGCGTGCAGCAACATCATGGGCCCAAGAAATCACAGCATACGTGACAAGAGCAAGTCTAATTATGTGCCAATTTGCCACACGTTGATCATGGTACATCAGCCAGGCCGTCCTGGTGATCAAATCTAGAATCTAGGCCGTCCCAGACGCTTTCTTGCATCATGGACTTTCCTCCAGAAGTCCGTGAGCTCGTCCGACAGCTAAAGGCTGCTGGCATGCAGATCGACGAGTCCAATCCGCAGGAAGTTATGCAGGCGGGCAAGTTTCTCAAGTTTCTCAATGATCAGTGTGCTAAAACTGTGGAGGCGACATGCCATCAAGCCTCGTAGCTTGAGACCGGTCAGTCCTTGGTTGGTGAGAATCCAGAATCCTATACATGTGTGTGTGTGTTCAGAAATCTATGCATACTTTGTGAACATAAACCGGCGTATGTAGACGCCCTCCTCCCCTTCCCCCACCCCCCAACCAACGCTAAGCCCTTTACCCCAAAACCCCAAACCCTAAGACCCTCAACTCACTCAACCCAAAACCTGTACGCGATAGCCCGAAAGCGCCAAACCCGAACACCCAAGACTCTAATCAAACCCTTCAAGACCCTTGACAAAACCCGAAGCAACTTTGACAAACTTACAATTAAGATTTACACCCTACACATTTTCCTCCCGACCTTAAAGCCAAAACCCAAAACCCACAACCTTGCAACAGGAGGATACCACGAAAAAACAATAACATGTATGGCCCCGGGGAAGGGAAGGGGGTGTGGTAGGACCCGGCATCGTATAAATGCCCGCCCTCCGCGTTCTCGAACCCCGTCCATCCTGATTGTATCCCATCCTCATGGTATCCCCCCCTTGCTATCCCCCTCCCAAAGCCCTGACCGTTGACCCTAAAATGTCGTGAGCCGCAGGGGGGGGAAGGGCCTGAATCCTACACAGTGCTACAGCCTAACCCTAAACCCAGCAGAGCAAATGCCCCCCCACCCCCCTACAATCCTAAAAGCCCAGTACCCCATACCCTGAAAGCAACATCACGGCCCGGCCTTATGGGAAGCGAAATAAATGGCCAGAGTTTGCCTGGACCCACCCTGCCGCTTCCCCATAAAGGGCCTCTTCGAGGCCTTGCGTAAGAGGTCTCCCCACAAGAAGCGCAAAATCTGGAAAAACAACGGGGTAATTGGTACAGCCTTTCCAGTATCCCTTTCTGACCCATAAAAACCTTAGACAGCCCACAAAACCTTGCCCTGAACTTCCCCTAAACCCTAAACTCTAGAACCCCACACGATCCTAAACCACTCCCCTCACCACAGGGGGAACCACGCGGGAGGCGGGGGCGGGGCAGTGACACTGCCGCAAAAATGACCAGAGCGTGCCCGGTCGCCCCTCTCCCTCCCTTGCCCCAAACCTTACTCTACAAGGTTGAGGGATGTTTAGGGTTTGTATGGTTGTGGTTCTCTCGTTGCTTTGTCAATGGAAGTTCTCTGCGGTAGGTGATATCTTAGTAATATTCATGTAAAAAAAAATGGCCGCCGGGAACATTCTTTTATATCTCTACATCCGGAGCGGCCCGGAGTGGGGTCCTAGAATCGCGCTCTGGGGTGCGGCACCATCGCTCGCTGTCACTGCGCTCTGTGGGCCGCTTGCGTCCAAAAACGTTCGTTGTTGAAGTCTTGCGTTGAGTGGTAGCAGGCCTTTGCGAAATCCTAGACCCTACCTCCAAAACCTTAATGCATCTCATAAAATCCTATTCCCGAAGCCCTAAGTCCTAACTAAACCTTAACCCTAAACCTTAAATTCCAAAATCCTAAACCCTAAACCCTTTCTAACTTCCAACTCCCAATCTGCCATGTCTTTAGCAGCAGCTCTGACCTCACCACAAGTCTGCCATGGCAAGTGGGGCAACGGGGCAAATAGGGCAAGCGCGGCAAGTGGCAGAAATCGCGGGCAAGTGGGGCAAGTGGGGCAAGTGGGGCAAGTGGGGAAAGTGGGGCAAGCGGGTCAAGCGGGCCAAGTGGCAGAACTTATTTAGCGGTGTGGGTTTGCACGCTCACTGTAACACTCCTCGTTTATAGCACACATCCCCACGCCATGACCATTCGGCGAAGCTATGTCAAGACTGGTTGACTTCAAACAATACATATTTTTCTCTGCTGCCACATATATGCATATATAGATATGTCTATGTGTGTGTGTGTCTAGGAAACATGTGTTTTTTCGATATACATCGCCTGCTGGTAGGTCGGGGGGGGGGGGGCTTGTGAGCATACATTCTGCATAGACATTGTAATCGGCCCTTCGGCAGCGTTGCCATGCTTCTTGCACCAAGCACGTCAGCAGACGAAATAGTGCAACAACACAGTTTTCCTACGTTTTCGCCCATGAGGCGGCAGAGCCTAGCTTGTTCTGGACACCCCTACTTGTCTTGGTTTCGAGGCTCTAAGTGATGTGCAGCGAATGGTGGCCAGCAAAAAGAAGTCTGCGATGGTGAGCAAAGAACATGCACTCCCTGGCCGAAGCGAGGTTATGTCTGTCTCAGCCGATCATTATGTGCTGAAGAACCCAATGAAAGGCCCATGGCCTGCTGGCTTTCAAGTTTGTGTCTTCGCAAACGGATGCTTCTGGGGCAGCGAGAAAGGAATCTGGCGTCTGCCTGGCGGCGGCATCTACTCTACGGCAGTGGGTTATGCTGGTGGCTACACACCGAATCCCACTTACGAAGAAGCATGTTCAGGTCAAACTGGACACACTGAGGCTGTACAGGTGGTTTTTGATCCATCAAAGATTAGCTTAATCGACATTCTGCGGTGGTTTTGGGAAGCCCATGACCCGACTCAAGGGATGGGCCAAGGCAATGACAGAGGTACACAGTATCGCAGTGCCTTGTATTATTTTGATGATGAGCAAAGGCAGCTTTACGAATCAAGCAAGGCAGCATATGAAGCTGCATTGAAAGCCAATGGAAAAGGTCGTGGTGAGATCACTACTGAAATTCGTGCAGCCTCAGACTTCGAGGGCGATGTGTTCTTCTACGCAGAGGATTACCATCAGCAGTACCTGGCAAAACCAGGACTTTGTTGGAGCTGGTTTAGGTCACGTCCTAGATTCAGAAGATTTAGAGCGAAGTTGTTGTGAATGCAGATGCAAGGAGCTCGCCCCTACTGCTCTGCACAGCCACAGCAGGTATCTCTGCCACCTTTTGAGCAGTGGTGCCCAGCTGAATTGCAAAAGAAGCACGCGCCGAAGCTGCCGACGGCCTCTTGGCACGTACAACGTTTGCGATGGTGTATCTAGGTGTGTCAATTTGTTGGTCCTTCAGCAAACTCCTCCACGCAGACATGTGCAGACAGTTTATGGATCCAAGGAGTTTTGGACTACTCATGGCCCTAAGCCTCATTGCGTGATTCGGTCTCCGAATGAACCAATCAAGTGGCCCTAAAAGAAAAAGGGCACATTTACAGATCGGCCTGCGTGGGCTCGGTTCTGGGACGACTTCTGCAGACTCACGCTTCTCTCGTCGTGAGGTTGAGTTTGCATCCGATGACACAGCGCAACGTTTTCTGGCAAGCTGGGAAGTGCCACCAGCTTGCTCTTGTGGAAGAAAAAGCCGGTCGTGGGAGCTTGTGTGTGCTCCAGGTACGAGGGTTGAATGTAGCACCAGGGTGATCCATTGATTGCTCGACATGCAGCCCCTGTGAAGCAGAGAGGCTCACGCCATCAACAGCATTGTCACGAGTCGTTGAGTTCGGGTTCACTAATCAAGGGTGTACATGGCTGAATGGCCGGCCATCGCCAGCAATATGCAGCTAGTGTGGTGATATATGAAGCTTTTACTTTACCGACCTACCACAAGTTGACACAGCCTCTACCTTGTGCTGCTCTTGGGCATCCCTTGCACTCCGCGATGTCAATTTCTGGCCTCTGTGGACCTCGGCAACGATGCACTGGCCTGAGAACATTCTGACGTCACACTCGGCTTCGCCTGAATGTGCGTCTCCTGCTCATTGTGCTCTGCCCAACGTAATTGTAAACGCTTGCGCGACGCCTCGGCAGCCGGGCCGGCCCCAGGACAGGAAAGGAGGAAAGAGGGTTTCGCAAAAAACGGGGAGGAAGGGCAGCGGGGTTAAAGGCGGGGGGGGGGGGGGGGGGGGGGGGGGGGGGGGGGGGGGGGGGGAGTTTGCAGCTCCTCCAAGCGACTGGGTCCCACAGGGCGGGGGGGGGGGGTGGCGTCACACGGGTGGGTTAAAGGGAAGGAGGCCCGATCCGGGTCTGCTTTTTCCAGACGCTTCTCGGCAGGAAGCCGAGGCGAATTTCCAGAGATTTGTTCGTTCTCTTGACTAAGCTAAGTGTGCTTTTTCGTTGCTGCAGTGCATCCTTGCATCGTACCTTGTTGCAGCCGAGGAGAGGATGCCTGGTGCTTGTGGCTTTGCTTTGCCAGCAGATCCAGGATAGGAAGAGAGACAGAGAGAAACGAGGCATCATAGGCAGCGCAGCAGCTTAGCACTGCGTTGTGGGGTGTTGTGATTGGTGGTTGTGGTGTGAACGGTTAGAAGAGAGGAGGAGACTGCAAAGGGGTCTGCGTGGGGAGTTAGGGGACACCTGGTTCTCAGAGCTTTTTGAAGAAAGAGATGCACACTTGTCACGCAAGTTGCATCATACTCTATCATTCCCCGTCTTGTCCTTGACTGTCACTGGTGGTCGCTGCTTGTCAGGCTGCAGGGCCTCCAGGCTGGCCTTTTCGGCTTTGATATGTTGTGATTTTCTGCTACTAGTGTTGATCCAACTTCAGGCTCTCAGAGCATCGTGGTGCTGGCCGAGGCCACACGTAGCATGGAAGAAGTGTGGACAGCATAGGTATGGGCAGTTTGCATTTGCTTATGTCCCATGTCCTGCCAGGCCAGGAATGGCACCCGCAATGCTTCCATCACTCGGACAGGTGGATCAAAGGCATGCTTAGGGTGTCTCTGCTTCCGGGATCACAAGGCATGCGCATCAGCGGCACACCCGGTCAGGCAAACCTTTGTGAGGTGCTGAAGGCTGGAACCTTAGCTTTCTTGCATCCCTTCACGCGCACAACGTTGAGGATCAGCACGGAGAGTGGACTGGGTCGGTTCAGCCTGGCGGTGTCTATGCATCGGCCCTGGAGCAAACGCAGTTGGTTGATGTTGGTTGTCTTGCCTGTGAAGCGAAGAGAAGAGAAAAGAACTCACCAATGAGGTTTTGACATGCAGTCGCGGCTATCAGGTTGATGGCCAGTCTCAGGCCCGAAGGCATTACGGCCTCCGTTAGCAGCGACTGCAAGGGATGCAGTTCGCAGGTCAACATGACTTGCTCCCAACATGCTGAGTGGCCTGCCAAGCCTTGGCCGCTAGCACAGCTTTCCTGCTGAAGTGTTCGAGGAAGGGTCTTGTCTTGCCGAATCTTCCTGGCGTTTTTGACCCACAGAGACAGAGGTGTGAGAACGTGGACGATTGTGCCAAGCTCCTGTATAAGCTTCTAGCTTGGCATCCAGTTGACCAAAAGCTTTCCAAGAGCATTCTGTCTAAGTCGAGGTGCGGGCCTGCAGGTTTGTGCCAAGACCTCCAGGATGGAAAAGTCCTCAGTTTTGCGGCTGAAGCTGTCAAAGTTGGGGCTTGTACGGCCTGTTTGCTTGTCCAGCAGCTTTCTTCAGCTTCCCTTGCCTTGGAGTTCAGCTCGAGAAATTCCTGCCAAGGGGTGGAGTGCATCTGCGAGCGCGGAGCACAGCGAAGCCGGGCCAGCAATGGTGAAGTCCATCCCTCAGAATCCCAGGCCTTTGCGGCACATCATTTGCCGTATCAAGACGTCCGCCTGTCATCCTTAAGTTGATGCACGCACGAGGTCGTATGCCACTTCAAAGGCACCACGGATTGTGGTGGCCGCAACTGTGGCTCACATGGAGTGTGCGTCCACTTGCCTGGTCCTCACGTGCAGACCGTGAACCAGGGACAGTCCCATTGAAGGGTTGTGCTTGTCGCAGGAAAGAGTACCAAAATACCTTTGACACGGGTAACAGCTCGTTTCGCTGCAGTCCAGACCTCAGCTAGAGTCTCGAACTGATCATCGAGCAAGCCCTGATTCGTTTTGAAGGCTGTGAGCGTGGCTACATGGACGATGGAGAGAAGTGTGTCGCTGCAGACTGTGGGCCTCTACAGGTGTGGCGCAAAAGGAATGGTGTTGTGCTTTGCACAACATGCCCACCTTGAGCACAACACTGCGTCCTGACTTTGGTCAGGATCCATTTGGCACTTGGCATGGGAGCCACGCCTACCTGGGAGTGCGAGACTTGTCGTCAGCATAGCTTTGGCAATGCTGGCTTGTGTCCAAGCGCTGTGCCCAGGAGTACACTCTGGAGTGCAAGGATGATGCCTTCGTGCGAGGGTCTTTGCAGCCTTGCAGGTAACACTATCACATGGCTTCCTCGTCCATGCTGGCCCATGCCGCCTTTCACCGAGGTGGGGCGGCACAGAGCAGGCTGCAACTATCAGCTGCCGCGCTCTCGGAGAGCTTGTGCATGAGACTTCGGGCATGACCGTTTGAAGAGTTCCCTTCTGAGGTCCTTCCTTTGGGCGCTGGCGCACAGTGCCACGGTGCTTGAGCCCCCTGGAGGAATCGTGCTGCGTTCCCGAGCACGCCTTGCTCAAGCCTTGCTGAACCTGCTTTTGCATCTTTGAGGAGAGCAGGGCGGCAGAGCGAGAACGCATATCGTTCATAATTCACGCTGCAGCCTCAGTCACAGCGCAAGCTCAGAACTGTGATAGTAAGAGTAGATCAGAGATGTCACCTGTCACCCTGAAGGTCTGTGCATCAGTTGTGTGCATTATATCGGCTTGTGCCTCAACCACGTGACTATGTTCAAAGCAAGGTTGTCCTGTGAGTTTGTCTGAAGGCTGCCCTGGCCGCTGGCCTAACCATGGGGCTGGTTTCCTTGGAGCCGAGGGCTTGGATGAGTACTTCAAAGCACTGAAAAGGTGGAGGCGACCATACGCCATGTTCAAAGCTCATATTGTGCCTTTGCCGGAAGTTCCTTTTGTCCCGAGGCCTGTGGAGTTGCAAATCATCGAGGCCCCTCAAGACTCTGCAGTCCACCTGGACTTGGGCTCCGCAAGACTCGCCACGGGTACTGTTGCTGCGTGCAATTATACCATTCTGGAACACGAGGAAACAAGCTTGGCTAGTTTCTGGACGTGACTGACTACTGCTGTAGCAAGGGTTGCGCCACCGTAGTCTAGCCCTTTTCCTACTGCAGTTCTGAAACCTGCCCGTCTTCTCTAGTGGTCCTTTCCTCGAGAGGCGGCTCGTCTAGATGATTGCACAACCGAAAAGGACGGAGAAGTGAAGGTTCACTCGATCCCATGCCCCAGCTCCTTGGAAGTCTTGTGAAGGAGAAGGAGCGGCTTCAGAAGCAAAAGGATGCCGCCAAGCGGATCCTGCCAGTGCTGAAGGACAGCTTTGAGCCCTTTGAGCCCTTTGAGCTTTGGGCCTTCCACCAGGGATTCTCTGGCCCGTCAGGAAGTGCACATGTAAGACATCACAACGGGTCAGGTGTATCGAGGAATGCCGCAATGTTCAGGCTCCAGCGGCAGTCAGCCCAAAACAGCAAGCGAACCCTAAGACAGCGCACATGAAGGAACGACAGCAGGAGAGCAAAGCTACAGAGAAGCGGGATGATTCACTCGGAGCTCATTTATTGTCGCTTTATTCGCTTTCAATGCAACTTCGTGCGAAGACCAGTAGATCAAGAATTGAAGCCGGGGTTCTTTGCTGGCCGCATGACATGGCTGGACGCATCGCCAGTTTACAGGCTGCGTTCTGTCGCGTTAGGTGCTCCCACCTGCTTCTGCCAGTCACTAAGTCACTACAGCGATGCAGGTGTTTGCACTGCGTGGGCCAAAGTTGCCACGCCCGCACTGGACCGCATGCTTCCCGGTTCCTCCTGGCAACGAGGCTCGGCCGGGTGCCTTAGGTGCCTTAGGTGCCCTTAGGTGCCCGTAGGTGCCTTGTCTTGGGTGCCTTGCGTGCCTTAAACCCGAGGACGCTGAATCGAAATAACAAGGATTCGGCATGGGAGTCACTTCTCTCCATGGCCTGTCTCGTTGTGTCGTAAATTTTCTGACTGGCCTGCGCTTGGAGCCTTGCGGCTTTCTGACCTGCCATGTTGTTTCAACACGGCTTTGCTTTTGGTGTCACCTGGTTGAGATCAGCTAGATGACACGTTTCAAAAAAGTCTGCTGGTTGGAATTTTGTGGCATCGGCTGGGATCGTGTGATGTTGCATCGCAGGTGCTGGTGCGTTTGCGAACGCAGGAGGGTGTCGAAGGCTTTGGCCTGGCGAGCAGTTACACAGTTCTTCGTCTGTGAGTTCAGAAGCTCGGGTTCGGCTTGCTTTTGAAAATTGAGAGGGAGGTAGGCATGGTGCCTTAAACCTTAGCTGAGGCCATTGAACCTCTGGTGAAGCCCTGGAAGAACGGGTTGGCAGACTTGATTTTGGGCGAAGATGCTTTGGCACCTGAACGCCTTTACCGCAAGCTGTTCCGGCTTACTGCCAACAAGGTGGGGCTGCAGCTTTTTAGACACATGTTCGATGTTGGTTTGCTGCTGGATGCGTGTGGAGTGTGGAGGTGGCGAGCGAAAAAGGCTGGTCGCGAGAGGCAATGATTCGGCTCAGCGCCGCGGTTGACTTGGCATGCTGGGACATCGTGGGCAAGGCTTGGCGCAGAGGAAGCAGGTGCAGCTGAGAAATGTGGACCTCGCGTGAAAGCCGCTAGCGACCGTGAAGGTTGCCGGCCTTCCTTTGTACAAGCACTGCAGCTCAGCCGGATTGCGTGTGCTTTTTGCTTCCAGTGACAGCAGGGGGTCTGTTTCGCGATTTGTGCAAACTTGAAGATGCGAGGCTCTTTGGCGGATTCAAAGATGAGGTTGCCTGTTATGCAACCTGCGGGTACTACAGGTGCCGCCAAGTGTCGCTGTGTTGGGATGTAGTCAAGCATCGGAAGTTCATGCTGCTTCAGCTTCTTGCAGGGAAGGGAAGGATGAAAGCGAACTTCGCGATGAACTACAGATGATGGTTGACCAGGGCCACACAGGCATGTCGACGGTGTTTGACATGTGTTTTTGCAGAGATGTCGTGTGGCCTGCACTATGCCAGACCATCCAGATTCTTTGTGATGAAGGTCTTTCACATTGATGAACATGTTTGCTTTAAGTGTTTGACGCGGTGTTAGTTAGTGTACTGCAGGCTTCAAAGTGAAGATTGGTGGCTTACCGCTGAAAGAAGACATGGAAAGACTGCGTGTCATCCGTGATATCATTGGCTATGACAAGGACTGTGAGTTCCGAACCATTCCGAACCATTCCGAACCATTCCGAACCATTCCGAACCTCAGTTCGCAAGCTTCTTGACTGCTTCGATTTGTCCAGGATCTCATGGTGGATGTCAACCGCGCCTGGGATTTCAAAACGGCGTGTGATGGCGTGAAGCTGCTCGAGGCCCTGTTCATTTCATTTCATGACAATGACTCACACGAGGATACGTCAAGAGGAGGCTTGTCCTTGGAGGCCTTCAAGCCGCGCTGGCTTGAGGAACCCGTGCCTGGCCGGAAATGGTTGCAGCCCAGGCGAAACACCTTACACTGCAAGACACTGCAAGACATGACAAGCACTGAGGTGGCTTGGGAGGACGATCGGCGCCTGCTCAAGTTGCTGTCACAGCGGACGACTATTCCATTGTCAGGGGGCGAGAGACTCTTGACGGAATTTCAATAAATCACCCGTTGTTTTTGCCTACTCGGTGAAGTTCTCAAACGTCACGTGAGCTGCTCATGTCAGCTCGTGTCAGGTGAGTTCACAAGCTACGGCTGCAGGGCGCTCCTGGAGGAGCAGGTCGGCCCAAGAATCATCAGGTTCAACTTCACATAGTTGGCATCATGTCGCCATGAATCTCAGGCCATTTCCATTCTGCAGTTCGACGCAACCATGTATGGTGGCTTCACGGAGGGGCGAAAGCTTGCGGCACTCTGTGAGCTGAACCATGTCCAGGTGCAGCCTCAAACGGCCTCCCGCCATGGCACCAAAATGCCTCCAAAATGCCTCCAAAATTCCAAAAGAATGCTACGATGACGTGACCGACAATTCGTGTGCGGTCGCAGGTGGCCCCGCATCACGATTGTTTCATCCATGTGCAGCTGGTGGCATCCACTCCGGCAGGGCTCATCGTCGAGGTTGGGTCCTCGAAGCATGCTATGTTGCTCATGGCATGACATCATACTGTAACACATCGTCTAAATTCCTGTGCCTGAATGTGTTTGTACAAGCCTGCGTGGACATGAAATCGACGCCGGCAGCCAGCCTCGAGGCATTCACGGATCCGGAGCGGGATCCCTTACAAGCGGAGCTCTTCGAGGAGAGTACCCCATTGGGCTTTGGCCGTGGCTGAACTTGCCGCCGCACAGGATGCCCCAACGATCGAGAATGGTACGATCAAGCTAAGTCCTGCAGCAGGCAGCGAAGCACATCAGGAATCATCAGGATGAGCCCTTTGAATGCCTTTGGGGTCTTTCGCTCGCAGGCATCGGTCTCACGCTGAACGAGAAGGCAATAGAGAAGTATGGAGAGCGCGTTCTTTGACCTTCAAAGTGTCACCTTCCTGTATAGACCAGACTTTCTGGCAGATCGTGATCTACAGTGGATACCACGCAACAGCGTTCTGGAACCTGAAGTGCTGAAGCATCTTCTTGCACAGTCTGTCATAGGGTTGTAGACATCCCATCACTTGGGTTGGGCTTCTTCTGTAAGCTGCTGAAACGGCTGACAGTGCATTTTCATGTTATGAAGGGCAGCGCCAGCGCGATGCCCGGTGTCATTGCTGGTACTATAGCAAGAGAATCGGGAAGCACACCAGACGTGCACAGAGTGCAGGTTGCAAGTGTGCCAAGATATGTGGTTGGACGTCATCGCACCAAGCAGACCGCAAAGGTTTTTTTGTGCCCAGCACGTGGGATAAAATCCGTGCCTGTGCCAAGCTGAATTCCCGCTGCTGCCTGTCATCCAGTGAGGACCACCACCTGCTCCTTGTTACCCTGCTTCTCCTCAATGCCCTTGCAAATGAGGCTTTGGACACACACACACACACACTTTTGGATTATTGTCATGCGAATCTGGTCGGCTCACGGGAAGGCACTCCCGATTTTCCTGGACGACCTGCTCAGCCCTGTCTTTGCAGTTCTGTTGTCCGTCGGCCTCCTGAGGGCAAAAATCATTGAGATCATTCAGACTGTTGAGGAGCAGCGAGCCTTCGAGAGCAGAGTATGTCCAAAGCACTGTGACCAGGTCACATTTGTTCTCATCTGCGGTGAGATCCTTCCCTCTGTGGCTTGGCAAACTGGCAAATTTGTAGACGCTTCGATCTGCATCAGATTGAAATAGTTTGAAATAGTTTGAACTCGTGGTGCCTGAGAGTAGTGCATGAGCAGCGCGTGTGTATTTCAGGTTGCGTGTACCACACCGCACTGAGAGCTCAACAACGCATCATGACCAGGCAGTTTTCACAGGACCTGCGCAACTGACCGTGTCTTCGTCGCATGGGACCCAGGCGTGTCCAGAATGCGCGTCACCCTGTATTGGTGGAATGCTGGATTCGCCCCTCTCAGGTTCGTTCCTGTGGTCAAGTTTTTGCTCACAGCATGCTATTGCATCGCCAAGCCCATTGCCAGAATCCTGGACAAGGCTTCGGGAAGGAATGGGGTTTGTGATCCTTCGCTGACTCTCCGCTTCTTTGACCTACTTTTTACTCATTGGAGCATCAGTTCAACCTCGCGGGTCTTGTGAGAGTGGGAAAGCAAGTACCAAACCCCTGTAAAGCAACAGGACCACCTGAAGAACGACACCCCTGAACCCTTATAGCTTGGAAAGGCTTCTTGATTAGATGTCAGAGCGACCGAGCGGCGGCAGTTTTTTGAGCCCACGGTGCCTCGGAAAGGTGCGGGCCCATCACAGCCCCCAACCCGCCGCGTGGCTCCTGGCTCGTCAACCCAACATAACCCAACACCTCATCCTCTTGCTGGGGTCCTGGGGATTGCGGGGTGCTTCGAAGTCCTCATTTCGTGACTATTGTGGGAAGGTTTTGCATCATTCATTTCGCGACATATCGAAGAAGCAGAGCGGCACCCCAAAAGCTTTTCTTGCAACATTCATGGCATCAAAACCTTTGTAAGGCTTGAAAAGCGACATTCGAACAGAGTCTAGGCGGACGCTCATGTTGATCCCTCTGGAAGGCGCTCGTCCACAACCGCGAGGAGCGCTTCTCGCGGCCAGAGGTTCGCTCTGTCCTACGTGCGGCACCTCAGAAAAAGGCTACGGGTTGTCAGGCGATGCAGATTGCTGTAGTGCTGCAGGCTTGCATTCACCGAGTGGTCATCTTGCTGCGCAAGAAGCCTACCGTGAACGGGAAGGCTTGCCGATCTTAAAGCTGGGAAGCGGAGAAAGCATAGAAGGCGGATGAAGGCAGGTTGGCCCATTGGCTGTTTCTCTTGCTTGTTTACGCCAGGCAGCTTAGAAGGCAGCCCCGGAGGCCCGTCAAACCGTCATCGAGTCGAACCCAGCGCCAGAAGCAGTCCTTCACCGTCACGTCCCGTCATGCAGGTCCATGACATGTGTGCTCAGTGGTGCTGCAGTTCCTGCGGCAGGTCAAAGCTGCCTCAGCGGATCACGGAGTGCAGCCGAAAATCGGCTGCTGCCCACAGAGGCAATGCGGTTTTGAGACCGGGGGAACACATGCTTTCCGGATTCCTGAGTCCCTTGTCAAAGTTAAAGTGGGTGGGGGGAGACAACAAGCCTACCACTCGTAACGCTGTTGCAGGACCCATTCAGTCCACCTAGCGTTCTGAACGACTTGGAGGTGGGCCAGAAAACGTGCTGCTTATCTTCACGAATCTTCGATATTGGCACCAGCTTTGAGCTGCAAGGTTGACTTGTGCATGGCCGTGCTCATGTTGGGAGATACTTTAGTGCTGTCCCCGGCTTGATATGCTTTGCGTGCTGTTTGTGCTTTGTGTGCATCCTGACAAAGGTTGCCGACAGCCCCGCCCTCTTAACATTGAAGCGTTGTGCAAGGATCTGCCCGGATCTGAAGTGTAAGCTTGAAAGCAGGTTTCTGCTTGGCCATTCTTGGCAGGAAAGTTCTGCCTGTAGACTTCTACAGCCCAGCAATTGCTGTCGCTGCTGATGCAGTGGCTTCAAACAAGGACCGAGCAAAAGCCGGGATTTCTGGCACCTGCAGAATGCGGACAATAGGAATCAACCTGGCACATGACGTGGCACAGCAATTAGGAAGTCGTGTCGTCGCAAGGACTTTGTTGTCGTTTTTCCCAATATCGACGATGTCGACTGGCCGGTTGAGGTGAACTTTGAGGACATCGTGGGTATTTTGCGAACCTCCGACTTACTGGCGACCCACTCATGTACTGCAGTCGGCTCGCTTTGCAAGCGCAAGCAACGGCCAGCCCGAATAGAGGCTCACGAGACAGCAGCAGAGGCACTGGCTCGCATAGCTGACACTTCTGATTCGCCCTGTGGAATTGGGGTGATCCACCGGAATGACGAGTTCTTCGGCCTCTTCGATGGAGAGGAGGCGCTGTGTGGTGCCATAACCGAACGTGAAGATGTTGCTGTACCATGCACACCCAGTGACCGATTGTCACGCCAAAGACGCGAGGCAGGGTTGGGGGTTGTGCAAAGTCGCAGCGATGCATCGCCATCCTCGTCAACTGGAAGCCCCGCACGAGAGACAATCCCGGAAAGTGCCATTGTGACGGGACGGACCCTCCATGAAATCGCAGAGATGGCGCTGGCACCCATGGATGAGGAGGTGCGAGATCGCTTTCACACAGATCCTCAGCCAGATGCCGTACGAGGTATCTCACTGCCGCTACCCTCACGCTCAACCTCAAGTGCCATAAGTGGCATGGATGTGACCAAGTCCGCTTCGTACAGCGCCCAAGGTGCTTCCGATCACAGAGGCTTGGCTCTGTTCAGAACACACTGTACGGCTGGACACCAGGAAAGGATTTTGGTCTGATTGGCCATGATGCACCGTTTTTCTTTCGTTTTGAACCGAGCCCAGGAGAACCTGCAACGGAGTCAAAGGAAGAGTCTCATGAGTCTCATGCCTTCAGAGAGGATATTGCATCTCGGCATTAGCGAAGATCGTTTCACCAATCGTGGTTTGTGGGGTACCTGCACACGTCACCAACACTTTCGCCGCCGCCGCCGCCACCACCACCACCACCGCCACCACCACCACATGACAGATTTGCTCTTGGTGTGGCATGTTTGACCGGAGGCAGACCGAGACGCGTCGGAGCGAGCTGGCTCGCGCCCAAGGCCTGCACAATTGCACGGACCTTATTTCTGACTTTCTTTTGGGAAGCAGTTTTTTTGCTTGCTGCTGTCCGCTTGTTCCCTCCTACTTCCGAGCGCAAGGTCATCGGACGTGGAACTGACCACGCTCCAAGCAAGCTCGAAGCCCACTTTAGGTTCGGAGGCTGCTGAAGGGCCGGACCCCGTGGACCCGGTGGACGGTGTGGGTCCCGCGGCCTCCGTGGATCCCATAGCCGTCGTAGCCAGTGAGCCCATCGCCAAGCCGGAGGCGACCGCGGACCAGGACAAAGATCTAGAAGAGATCTCTATTGGGTCACGGCCCAGTCAAGAGCCTGGCAGTCATGCACTCGACTAAGTCCGAAGCGGCAGATGCCATGTCGTGGATCGATTGAGGGCGGCTCTGAAATTCTCAGAACCCCATGATTCCTGCGGCTGCGAAAAAGGTTGAAAACAACCCATTCACGTAACTTGAGAAGCAGAACGGCGGTTGACAATGACTTTGTCAAACAAGCTTGACTCAGGCCTTAATTTTTTAAAAATGTAAGTACTGGACTAGAATCTAGGGAAGGGTCGGGTTCAGACTTGAGATCAGACAATGGTTGCAGGCATTGTTCTTGGCTCACGAGAAGCGGCAAGACTTTTTTTTGTGTGTTGTGACCTGTTGCATTTCTCTTGCGCAAGGGTTGCCTTCGCTGATGCACGCTTCATGCCTAACCCAGCTACCCGAAGTGCGTTTGGCACAAATTGGCACAAGCCATCTTCCTGGTTCTGCCCAAAAGAGGTGCCTGATCTCTCAATGCGCATGGAGTCGAATGAAACGGTTCCATCAGAGCCAGTCAAGGTCAGACCTACGACATACGTGAAAGTCTTGACGCTCACATGTTTGGCTATGTATCCTTTTTTCGCGCTGCTCACAAGCAAGTTGGAAACTGGAGGTTTCGTGCCGTGTGCTGAAGAATGTGTTTTCATGCGATATTCTGGTGTTCCTCACCTGCCATCAACTGCTGCTGAGAATGTGGAGCTCACTACAGGGAAGCCAGGTGGTTGGTGGGCAGGGTTTCCATTGTTTGTGTCCGTCCGCAATGGCCATGGCATCCGAGCAAGCTATCCTCCGGTTTCTTCGCTGCAGACATGGCTCCTGACACCAGGAGCTGTTCTCACTGTGGGCCCATGGGTGTACACATCTGCGGCATTGAAATGGGACAGCTCCAACCAGGTGGCCTTTCCAGACACTGAAGAGGTCAATGATCCGGATCAGTGCGAACATAAGCACGTGCGTCAACACATCGACAACCACCTGGCCGGAAATCCCAGCAAATACCTTTGTTTGTTGGGACTTGTCCTTTGGGCCACGTGTAATGTAGCACATGACTGGGCCCTTCTTTATGGATGCGAGGAACGCATTACGCTCAAGATTGCACACGCATCCTGGTGTTGTCAGGCTATGTCTTGCGTGGCTACTTTCATGTGGAGCACTGGTGCTGCGGAAGTCTTTGTCGCCCCATCGTTCGGATGCTATTACCAGTTAGATGTTTGGGAGACGATCCTCATTGCACTTCCGCCATTCATTCTCCTTGCAGCCACTGAAGTCAAACGTGGGGCACTCGTCTTATCGGTGTGTCATGGTGACTACTTATTTTCAGTCAACTACCAGCTTCCGTTCAGGATGGTTCGTTCTACACGTCCTTCCAGTCCTGCGGGGACATTGTTGACAATAGGGCTGCACGGAGACCGGCAATGGTCGAGTTGGCCTTTCGTGAAAGCGCGGAGTACCCCAACTTTATTGGATTCTTCGTCTGACAACCAGTCTGTAGGAAAGTGCTTGTCATCAAGTCCCTCTCGTTGCATGCCGAGGCATTCGGGAGACAACTGTGTGGCTGAATGCCCAGCTCAGAAACTGTCTTTCAAGGATATGGATGACATGGAATTTCACCTGTCCAAAAGCCACCATTGTTGGACCTATGCCAAATACTTTGTGATTGCTCCATTTGCCATGGGTCCCCTTGTCAGAAGGCTTATTAGCGTGTTCCTGATCCAGGAATGGTCGCTTGGTGCCATGGGTGGCCTGAAGCTTGCGGTCGCAATGATGCTTTTGGCGTCAGTTGCTGCGGGTATCTTCCCGATGTATTTCGCTATCTCGCAGTATCTCAAAGTCGTCCAGAGCCAGGCCAACAAGTGCAACTTCACTGGGCACTTTAGCTGTTGGAACTGGTACAGCTTGTTATCACACGTGTGGTTCTGTATCCTTGGACCTTTCTTCAGCCTCGGCGCGGTCTTGAAGCTTTTCTGGTTTCTTCGAGGCGCTGGAGCTGCAGATGAGCTTGAGAGTAGCTGGTATTGGCACTTGCATGGGACGTCCATGTACATCTATGCAACGTTGTCTTATGCAGTGCTCAAGAAATCCCGGGACCCAAATTGCATGCTTCAGGCCCGCACGCTGAAGCCAAGTTTTCCAGGCTGGGAACAATCCTACCTCCTAAAAGAGCTCAACGAAGACCACCCCGACTGGCAAATGACACCTTACTTGAAGCTGTGCGGTGGAAACGTGGAAAATGTCAAGACGATCAAGAAGGAGATGCGTGAAGACGCAACTCTTCCCCACGTCGAGCAAGCCTGGAAAGTGTTGTCAAAGATCCCGACACAGGATTCGGCACAGGAACTGTTAGTCGTTTGAGACAACGTCTGGAGAAGCAGGGAGCCGCAAAGCGGCACAAGAACCGTTGAAACTCTGTATACTGCGACTCTTTCCAAAGCTGTCAGAGTACTCAGTCAGGTGAAACCGGAACTCAGACGACATGATGACCAGATATGCCAAACTGTTGTCTGGAAAGAGGTTCTGAAAAGACGAGCGCAGAACGATGCAGAAGAAGCTGTGTCTTTTGATGATGGTTGGCCTGAAATTTGGCTCAGCCTGCAGGATGTCTTGTGCATCCCCAAAGCACGAGCCGTCTTTGTCTGCGTTGCATCTTGTGCCCGTAGTCTCAAGCTATGCCAGTAGAGTCTCAGTTGAGCAGGTACCGGTCCTAGAGTACCAGTACAAACTGACGAAAAATGACATGTGCCCGTGACAGGAGACAGCATCCATGACGTGAGCTACAGACTGCAGATTCCAGACGGCAGTGGCATAAGGAAGGGCTACCGAAGCTGTCGCAACTCTCACATGTTTCGCTAGCGTTGCCGCTGCATGGCACCCGATCTCACGGCAGAGTGGCAGGCCTGTGTCATGTCCGAGTGGCTAAAGTGGACTTAAAGTGGACTTAAAGTGGACGTGTTGCTGGTTGCCCTATATTGCCATTCAAAGCTTTGCGTTTTAAGCACCCGAAGCCGGCCGGTCTTGCGGACACAGTGTGCAGGTGGTAAAGCCACGGAAAGGTCGCCGTCAGGCTCCAGGCACGCAGCTGGGCACTCTGGAGCAGGCTTCTTCATATTCAAGTGATGTACTGGACGTGCATGCCAGGCTGCCATGCACATGACTTGGCCCAGGAGGCTTGTCATGTTGTACTCGGAGAGTGCTCGAGTCTCAGTCTTTGTGAGAACAGGTGGACCAGAGTGGCCCGGCTGATCCCAGCGTGGTCGCACGCCATGGCCTTGGCCACAAGCTTGAGATTGTCTCTCCGAGGATTGCAGTGATCAAACGTAAGGACTTGTTGCTCACATTCGCGAGCACGCAGAGTCTTGCTCCTCAGCTCTTCATCAGTGTTGGTGCACCGATGTTACATGCGGGTCTCTGAGGTCACTAAAGCGTTCTAGCTACTGGCCGTCGGTGCTAGAGGCTGTGCGGGAAGGTCTTCAGGCCAGCATGGCATATGCAAGTGGCTGCTGTGCGATGCTGGATTGTAAAATCTTGGAAGCCACGAGACGGAGGCAACGCCATCCAGCAGTCTGTCTGCTTCTGCAGGCGTGAGACAACGAAACACTACAGATCCTTTTGCGCATCTCTGCCTCTTGGCCTCTTGCAGGCGGAGCTGTCAGGCTCTGGGGAAGTGCGTGGTGCATGTCACTATGTGGCTATGTGGCGCTGTGCAATTCAGTTCTGGCAGCGTGTGGCAGGCTGCTTTGCCTTGGAATCGGCTCCCCCGAGTCCTCCTCGTCCTCCGTCAGGGCCTTGTCGCTGCGGACAGCATTCTGTCTCCGGTGTAGCTGTCGCTTTCGCTGAGATTTCGCACGAGGCCTGGCAGCTCGCCATGGCCTGGCTGCTGGCCGAGGTCTGTTGCATCACCGAGCGGCATTGGGCGGTGCGGTCCTCAGGACGGCATCGATGGCACAAGCGAGACCGATGATGACAGCGCCATCCCGCCATCGCCACTGACGACGGCGACGGCGGCGGCGACGACGACGACGATGCAAGGACAAGGAGGAGGAGGAGGAGGAGGAGGAGGAGGAGGGGAGGGGGAGGAGGGAGGAGGAGAGGAGGAGGAGGGGAGGAGAGGAGAGAGGAGGAGGGAGGAGGAGGAGGAGGAGGAGGAGGAGGAGGAGGAGGAGGAGGAGGAGGAGGAGGCGGCTGGAAGCGGCCGGCTCACGTGCTGTGCATCGTTGATGTTAGCCATATCATGGCGTGCAGACCCAGGATCCACAAATGCCGGATGCCTGGCCGCATTGCCAATGGGGCGTGGGGGGCAGTCATGGCTTTAAAAGGCAGTCAGCCTCAACGGAGCCTCAACGGCCTCTCACAAAGGCGAAATGTGGACCATGCCGTGGGCGCCGAGTTCGGCTTTGCATTGGATGAGGCCGCGTATGGCCTCGTTTTTCCATCGGTTTTTCTCAATGTTTTAGTTTTGCTTCTGAGACTGGACGGTGTCAGAGCACGAGTACAGGAGGAATCTGCAGCGAGCAGACCCCATGGAAGGCCGTGCAATCCAGATCATGTCTGTGCACGTTGCTTAGCACTGTATCAGCAGAGGCCACTACTTCTTTTCATGCCTCACTGCGACAGGGCCTTGTATGAGGCCTTGCGAGTATGTTGTCAGTTCTTGCCTGGCTTGGAATCGCTGTGCGAGCTAGGCAAGAGTCATAGGCTCTGGAGCTGAGTATGAATCTGTTCAGGCGGTGCTGGCCGGCGGGAAGTCGCAGGCCACCCGTGAGCGACGGCTACGTGTGCGAGAGCTAGACCCAGTGGACCTCGAGGTGCGGCCTCCTGATGATTTGGCGAACATAGTCTTGCTGGGGAACTCCTTCAAGGCAGGCTGCCCCGTTCTTGAGAGGGCGCAGGTGTGCAGATGGCGGGAAACCGGTACGAGGTTTACAGGGAACGCGACGAGCTCGGCGCTGTCATGAGTGGCCCTGGAGCTCCGAGCTGCGAGAACGCTTGGCACTTGGCTTCTCAGGCCTGCCGATCTTATCTTTAAAAATATGGTCTTAAAAAGTCCTTGGTGTCGCTCGCTGCAATACAGCTGTTTCACAGAGCTCAACTGCATGAGAGGGCAAGGGGGCAGCACATCTCAGCACGAGGGGTGCTAGTACCGTGGGACCGTGGGACTGTTGTAAACTGTGCAAAAGAGATGCAAAAGCTCAAACGAAGTATCCTTTACAGTATTTTTATACTTGCAGCCCTAGATCAATACTTCTTTGGCTTCCTGGGTTTCTAGCCAGGGGTTACACTTTCGCAAGGTGCCAACATGCAAATCCTTAAAGGCATCTCGCGACGGGTAGGGTGCGCGGATGCCTGCACTGCTGGAGTTGTGTCTAGCGCAGCCATGGACCCAAGATAAGGACCACGCATGTTTGCCAATCATTCGCTGTGCACTTCGCACAACTCTGTGGCTGAACTGCACCTGTGAAGGATCCGCGCGATGCCTTCCAAATCGGAAGCAGACACCTTACTGGAAGATGCCTGTTTCTCAGGAATCGTCCTGTAGGCTTGGTGATCAGATTTTATGTTCAAGTCTCTAGTCATACGTTATGCATACATTATTCACTGTGCCACTGCACCCATGACTGAGTTGCCTCCTGCCCTTAATGCTCACATCGTGCGATACAATGTGAAGAAGTTCTCTGGAGGGTTGGCCTCTCAGCGGGCTGCATAGTGAAACTGCGTAGAACTGCTACTCTTCTGTGCGATTGTCCTTAGACATCGCCCTGGGATATCGAGGAGAGAGGATCTTCTGCCTGATGACATCGACGATCCGGAGCTGTTGCTGCGAGCCGCGGCCAGGGGCTCAACTGCCGGCACCTGCTGCCGAAGAGATCGCCTGAAGAGATCGCCAGCAGCTGGGAGGTACGGAGGTTTCAGAACGAGTCCAGCGCTGAACCTCTCCGTAGGGTGGGGATTCGTGTCCTCTGTGGTCCCTCAAGCTTCCAGGTGCAGCGCAGCCAAAAGCCAGCAGTATCGGTCAGATGCAGAGGTGCCACCAGCGTAAGGGACGAACCTTCAAAGAGAGAAAGCTGCTTGCAAGGCGGAGAAGCTGAGAAAGCAAGTGGAAATCTTGGAGGAGCTCATGGCACGCGCTGGGAATTAGCGTCTGAGGGTGCCCGATATACGGCTTTGCTAGGAATCCCGCCAATATAGAGAACTCCCCAACGTAGCAGCATGCAATGCAGGAGGCACAAGCCTTGGCAAAAGAGAAGGAGGCTAAGCCACTCCCTCACTTGCAAAAGCGAAAGTCCTGTTCTGTGATGCAGCAACGAAGATACGGCTTCTCGTGGGTTGATGTTCGTTGTGTTTCTTTGGTATTTCTTCGTGTTTCGTCGACCAAGGTTCGCCAATCCTGAAAGGAAGCTTGCAAAGGCGCTGGCCGTCTTGTTGGGAGACTGGGAGAAATCCACATTGTCCACATTTCATGCAGGGCTGTGTTGGCTTTCTGTGGAAGGCAGCGCAGTCCGAACTCTTCAACGAGCGGATGACGATCAGACGCGAGGAGCTTGGAGAAGCAGCCCCGAGCCGCCGTCGTCACCTGCGCTTTGTTTTTTTTTCCATCTCTCTGTCTTCTCTTTCAGGCTTCATGTCATGGGTGTCCTTCCTGCTTGTCGCGGTTTTAGGAGCATAACCTTACTGTGTGCTTTCGTGGGCTGCATACGACTGCCACGAGGGTTTCTCCTCCCTGGGGCCTCTCTTGACTTGCGGCCGCTCAGCCCAAACGGGGCCCGGATCCACTTGTGGAAGAAGCAGCTTTCATTTTGGTTTTTTTCCTTTTTAGACAGCGCGACCCTGATTTAATGTTGCCGGAAAGGGTGGGCAAGGGTGCCCCTAGTTCCCTACGAAATAGCATGGCATTACTAGTAAAGCGGCACGACAAGCAATACAAGCAATATAGCGGGTAGAATGAGGAGACGGTATGGCGGTGGGAAGAGACGTTGGCAGCCGTGGCGGTTCTGGAAGAAGCATTTTTTGCATCACTTTGCCAAGGCTTGCAGAAAGAGCTCAGGATGGTCAAGGCGACACATCCAGCTGCCAACGTGTGAAATTGATTGCGAAATTGGTTACGAAGTCGGTGCAGGATATGCTGAAGGAGTCAGAGGCAAACTGGCTACTGTAGCTCTGCCTATGCATTGCCCCTCCTCCCATGCTTGCGATGCATGGTTCAGGACACCTTCACCCAGCTTTTCGAAGAACTGGTGACAACGAGGCGCCACGACCAGGACGCTCCGAGTACAACCTGCAAGCCGAGCTCCGCAGGATGTGGGCAGGTTTGACGGGTTTTTAGCACTTTTGGGCGGCTTGGAAGGAACTTGAGGCGCAACAAAACGGCCTCGAGAACAAGGCAAGGATGTCCATAGTGGTAGCTTCCTCAGCCTGGAACCATGCAAACCTTGAAATTGAATGCCCAGAGACGCCCTCACTTGACTCAAGTCCTGTGCCCGTTCTTCCGAGGCCCTTGCAGAGGAAAGAAAAAAGGTTCATGAGAAGACCGAAATCGCCGGCAGCTTAAGTTGTTTGCACGAAAGAGGATGGCTTCAAGGGCCACCGATACTAGAACTCCTCGAATGGCTCGACCAATCGAGGCAAAGTCGCTCAAGGCGCGCGTGCAGGAACTGGAGGCCCGGCCTTTCCATGTTGACTTCTTTTGCCTTTTCTCCCGTGGAAAGAAGTGCGATCGACGGGAGGCGAATGAAGGAGATGTCCACAGAAAGAAAGCGATAGCTGCAGCTTGCTCAGCGAGAGGGACTCGCTTTGTTTCTCGCCATTTTGGCTCGCATGCCTTGGTTGACAAGGAGAGGAGAATCGTGGTGCTGGACCGCGACGTTGCGCAGCTGCAGCAGGCCAGCCATTGACAAACAAATGCAAGCACGTGCCAGACAAGTGCACCGGAGAAAGTTTCATAAAGAATCATCAAGATGGATCAAGAATGATCTGGAGGACGTGAAGCGGGTTGAAGCCAAATACCAGGAAAGTGCTGCAACCTCGGATCATCCGGGCGGCCTGACGCTGGCTTTTTGTGTAACAGAAAGTCAACAGACTTGGAGCAACTGCTCTTGCAAGGTGGAGACCACCTTGATTCTGGAGGAAAGGTGCCGCGAAGAAGAGGCGCGTGACCTCTCTGGAGCCCTCAAACTTCTCGGAGCGTGGATTTGGGCCAGAGAATCCTGCCATCAGCCACAGTTGGAGCCCCAGAGATTTGCAGGACTTTCCTTTGAAATTTGAAAAATCAGGCCAAGCTCAAGGAGGAAAGGGCCAAAGTGGAGGCCTGACGGCGTCCGACTTGCAAGCATTATAAATCATAAGCTTCCACTGGCACCCCTGCCCGTATCCACACACTTCCATGGTGTGCCCGATCAGAGAAAGCTGGTCCATCTCAGTAGGCAACGACAGATGTGGCAGACTGTCATGCAATAAATTTTGAAGCGTCGCCGCTCGACAAAGTGAAGGTGCTGACTGCGCAGGTTGCCGTGAGGTGCTTGGTGCCTGAGATTCAGCTGCCACTCTAACGAGAGTGGCAAACGAGCGCGCATACCGAGGAAGAGAAGAAGTGGAGTGCCATTCTGAAGCAGGACCTGGCCAAGGCACATGCTGAGCCCAGTCCTCAGCAAGATGCAGCTTTCGTGGTGTTGTGTGCTCAATGTGTGCTCTATGACCGCCTACCTCTGTCAGGATCGAGGGCATCACAGACGAGAAGCATTCACTCTTTAAGGAAAACAAGTCATGCTCCCAGCGGTACTGCTGGAAAATCCACGTAGACTGCTTGGGGCACCTGCTCACAGAAGCTTGCGCTGTTGTGCCCAGGAGCCTTGACAAGAAAGGCATCATCGAGGGCAAACGAGCTCGCGAAGCTGAAGCGGAGGAGCTCCGCTCATGTCCTCTACGGACAAGCCCAGGTGTCCAACGGTAGCCGCGCAGGCGAAGAAGGTGCGAGAGCTGCTCGTAGACTCTTCGTGCCGGCCTTGTCCATTCACGAGTTTCGGGTAACCGTTGCGAGTCCACATATCACGAGGCGGTCAATGCGTGCATTCCAGGTCCAATCTAGTCATGACCACACACGAACTTGGCGCCGCCACCTCAATTGCTGGCAGAACATGTAGTTGGCGTCCGCCGCTTATTAGGAAAAGTTCTTACGAAGGAGTTTCGTGCTTTTGCCGGCCTGACGCTGTCGGAGAGTGTTCACGCTACGCTTGGCTCGTCCTTTTTCCCCACCTTCGGTGTGGGGTTGTTAGATTTTAAACTCAACTCTTCTCCTCGCCCGGAACTCTTCTCCTCGCCCGGTCTACTCCTGGAGACTCCCTGGAGTGCCCAACCAAAGAGACTCCCTGGAGTGGACAATCACAGAGACTCCCTTGAGTGCCCAACCCCAGAGTCTCGCTGGAGTGCCCAACCGCAGAGTCTCCCTGGAGTGCCCAACTCAGAGGCTCCTGGAGTGCCCAACCCCAGCGTTTTCCTGGAGTAGAGTCTCCCTGGAGTACCCAGTCCCTGAGACTCCCTGGAGTGCCCAACCCCAATTGCAAGCAAAAAGCTAAGAAAGCGTAGTTGAATCAATGTGTCTTTGTTTGAACATCTTATTTGCGCTCTTTCATTTAAAATATTTTTCTTTGCCTTCTCTCACACTAGCTGCACTTCGCTTCCTTGCCTTGCAATTCCATCAAAGACACGCAGAGAGTATCAACGAGTGTGTTTGATTTTCCTTGTAGTAGACCGCGAAAGGAGACAGCGGTCGTTCACTACCGTGATTAGGTAATTTCAACGCTACGCGCGCAGAGGTGCTTGGAGCGAAACAAGGAGAATGAGGGTGGGAAGGTGCTGGAGTCCATTGGAGCGGGCGCTGGCAGGGGTAAAGCCGATTGGGGGTGGTGGGGGGCGGAGGTGCGCGCCAGGCTCAAGCCCAACTGCCTCTGGTCCTGATACACCCAATGTGCGAAATAAAGGGGTGCAAACTTGTGCAGGGGTGGATTAAAGGCGGGCTGCTTTTTGCTACCCAAACACCTACGGCGAAAGGCCTCGGCGGATCTTGACGGTTGGCTCAGTCGTCTCCGTTCATTGTTGGCTCTCCTTCCCCTTGCAAGGATGAGAAGCAGAGGGTTGGAGAATTGGAACGTGAGTGAGGGACCTGGACACCTAGCCCTTGTCTTCAGTGCAAGCTGCTTCATCTCATACAAGATGTTGATCAGTGGGGTGGCATTCTGCAGGCCAGTTTCGTCGCTGATATGCTAAGGCTTGAGGAGACTCGCAAGACACTGAAGGAATACCAGGAGCTTGCACGGCATGAATTTTGCCGCCTTTGCACGTACTTCGGTGCTTTGATTCATGCCAATGCATGTCTGGTTAAGAGTGCTCATGGGCAACAATATGCAACAATCGTACCCCAAAGTTCCACTGCGTTTGTTCAGGAGCTGGCAGCAACGCGCAAGGGCATTTTGGAGGGCGTGGAGAAGGACGTTGCTAATCAGCTTTCTCGGCTTTTCTCGGCTTGGCAGCCTCAGCGCTCGGCAGCCCACACTCCACCACTCTATGCTCCGTGGGGCTTGCAGGAAGTTGTTGAGCTGAACAATCAGCTGAAGGAAGCGGAGGTGCAAAGCTCAATCGCCTGCCCGCTTGAGCGAAGGGCAAAATGCCGCCGAATCCAGGCCAGGGAGTATTCGTTGACTCGCGAGCTCAAGAAAGTGAAGGCCAAACCTGAGTAATTTTGGCAGCGTGCTGTGCTGCATCTTCTCACGTCGGGGCATTCGGTGATCCTCAGCATGGTGACCCATCTGGTGACCTGCCAGATCTCGCTGTCACAGTCAATGGACAGAGAGAAGGCCGCCGCTTTGATTAGTGCAGTCCTGGCTTGCGTCGTGTATTAGGAGCCTGTCATGTCGGGTGTTCCCGGACAGGATGCTGATGCGGAGGTTGTTCGGGTTGCCAGCTCGCACTGAACCGAGTTCTGAGTGAGCGCATCCAGTTATGTTGCCACATTAATCCCTTGCCTTTCTGGGCTTAGACATTTGAAGTTAACTGGACACTGCCGCTGTTTCGTCTCTGGACCTTGCATGCCTGTGTTTCAAGCTTCAGATTGTGGTCAGAAAGTCTTGGATCATCGATCACCTCTGTTGTTTACAGGTTTCGGTTGAAGATGTCTTTATCACAGGTTGCTCTGTTCACCACGACTTTCCGCCACAGGACCGGTACGGAGCAAGAAAGATTCATGACTCGAGAGTTTAATCGGACAGTCTGATTCCAGCCATGCCGGGCCCGGATCCTGGCAAGACCTTCAAGGCCCAAAGGGAGCTCCCTTGACTTCTTGAATTCTCGCTGTCGCGGCGCGGGTGCAGGTCTTCAGTGGCTACGGGGTCTTCATGAATGAGATGTGGCCACAAGCTCTGGCAGCGTTACCCCAGCTGGAGCGCGAGAAGATGAGCAACGAGGACCTCACCATGAGGTTGAAGACCGAGTGGGATCGGCTCTCAGGCTAGGAGTTGGCCTTGTGCATTCCTTTTTCCTGCCCTGTGATCCTCTTTTTGAAAGAGAGCGCGGCTCTGTCTCGGACAGGTGCTGACAAGCACGCCTTCCAACTGCGTGTTCCTGCTGGGGCGGTGTTGGATCTGGCAGGTAGCCCCGCAGAGGTTCCGTATTGCCAGACGCGGCCAGATGACGAGGCCTCCGACTCGGACGCCGATGAGGCTGCGAAGGTGACAAGTGTGGCGAGACCTATACCCTACTTGGAGCGAGATCCACTGCACTGTGCGTCAAAGCAGCAGTCACCGTCTCATCATAAAGCCAGCGACAATGTTGCTGGCAGTGATGTGGATGCACGTGACTTGCCTTTTGCACCGCGCACGGGGAGGTAAAGGTCGAGGATTCATGCCCTTTGTCTGCTTTTTCTGCATTTCGCAGGATGGGGGGGCACTCCAAGTGATAGCTGGGCCGAATCACAGGATCGCATCCCACAGTGGAGCTGTATGGTAATCCATAGCTAGGGCGGCATAGTGCGGCCGTTGTGTCTTTCCGGCCATGGTGAAAATGAAAACAAGTGTGCAAGCTGTGCTGTGGATGTGCACTTTGTGAGGGTCGCTATAGAAAAAGGCTGGACTTGTCCAACCGCGAGTTCCGCACTCTCCAGTCCGAGGCTCCGGGAAATAAAGCCGACAGAATTGCAAAATGAGGTAAACAGCATCATCAAGCAGTTTTGAAATCCCTCCAGATCTCCAGGTTGGTGACAAGGTCGCCTCCATCGATCTGCTTTCGTCCCAGCTCCAAGACTCCAAGGACGGCCAAGGGCACAAAACATTGGGTGGAGGGGGGGGTTCCTCTCGACGTCACGCATCTCCTCAACGATCTTGAAGCCGCCCGGTGCGGCTTTCAGCTTCGTTGCTGATCATCCTCCGAGTCGTACTCTCACTGCTCGGACCCGTGCACATCTGCCCACTGCATTTTAGGCGCCGAAGACCAAACAAGAGAGAGCTCCCTGCCTGGCTCCAGTGTCTCGTCCACTTTGCATGTCCGCAGCCCGCATGCAGATAGCATCATTCCCGCTCGAGTCTGCTCTGGCTTTGTTCATGAACCATCCGGACTCTGGAGCGTGGTGGAGCGCAAGTCGTAAGCTGTCCATGCCTGCTGTGGTGTATGAGCAGGAGCTTGTCCGCATCTACCGCTTGCGTGGAGACGATTTGGAAAAGGATCTCAAGCCATGGCCTCGTGCAGAGGTCACAAAGTTGACAAGCTTTCATTCTTCATCTGACGCGCAAGTGATGTGGACTGCACTGTGACTGCACCAAGGGCCTCGCAGCAGCGTGTCACCGAATCTCAAGATCGCGAATACGTGCACAAAGTGGAATGCGATAGGCCTGTTCTGGAGTACTTTTGTTTTTTATTGAGATTGAGCCAGTGGCATCACAGGCTCAAAGAGAAGCTGGCGAAAGAACAGGTTCGGAGTGTGAGGTAGTCAGGCATGCAGCAAGCTGCTGTTCTTGTGCCCAGGATGTCGTTTTGGACCTTTCCGAGAAAGTTGAGCTAATGTCATCACAGATAAAGGAAAGTCAAGCTGCGTGCGCCCGCAGTTCCTGCAAGCCTGCCTTGGATCACCAAGAAGAGCCTTGCAAGACGTATTGCAGGTACGTACAAGTGGTCCAACGAGAGGAGGTGCTCAAGGAGAAGGTAGCCAAGCCTTGAACCCGGTCGCGTCACAAGCGCAGCTCAGAGCTTTGCTGAATTGAACTCTCCAGCTGTATCCAAAACTCATCAAAGCTCTCTCTGAGGTACCAAGAAAGGCTGGAGGCTCGGAACCGAGCTTGAAGTGTGCGGAAGTGGATGTCGAATTTTACAGATGCACCGATGATGCACCATGCCATGCTCTCCTTTTCTTGTTTGGAGAAGCTGTCGAAGGGATTGAAATCGAACAAGGGCCTTCACTGACACAGGATGCCACGGAGCGCGGCGATGTCCTGGAAAAGGGTCTCCGCCTGGGCTTGTCCAGCACAGCATAGCCAATGCCAAACAACTTGCCGGAATTTTGGCTGTTGCCGGGGCGTAGGTCTGAAGCAAGTGGAAGGAGAACGTGAGGTGGGCTCAAAGAAATCCATCACGTTCAGCGCGGAAAGTGTAAGGATTTGTAAGGGTTCATTGAGACTTGTACCTAAAGCCTCTGACATGACGATCAGGTCTACAAGGGTCAAACCCACGTGTTGTGGCTCGGCGGCATGTAGAAGGGGACAGAGTGAACTCCTGCCGATATTTGTGCCAATATGATTTCCTCCATTTTGCTTTGGCTTGGCTTCTCTTTGTTAGCTTGCAGAGATAAGCTGGTCCGAAGATTCCGTTCACAAGCAGCGGACACCGCTAGCCCATTTTTTTTTCACCCTTATGGCACAAGTGCAAGGAGAGAAGATCTTCTCGACAAGCAGACAAAGCTCCGCAGTACGAACAAGGACCTTACCATGACGGTGGCTGCCTGAGCATTGCCCGCCAAAGTTGTGATGCCTCGTGTCGTTGTATTATTACGCCTAGGACCTAGGACCTAGGCGACAAGCATGTGGCTTGGCCTGCGTTTGACCCACTTGCCAGGCAGTTGACCTTGAGAGCCTCAAGGCGTGACACAGCTTGTGCAAGACAGGGCAAGAAACGTTCAAAGCACCTTCATCTGTGCGTCATTCACACTCAAATCTTTCGCGAGGAGTCACACGAAGGCATGGCGGAGGATCTGAAGAAGCTCGCTTCTCAGAATGTGGCCTTGTGACTTGTGTGTCCGGGCGGGACCTCATGTTTAGACAGGCATGCCGGTTCAGGCTTTAGGGTTGAAAGTTTAGGGCCTTAGGGTTTTGGGCTTGTGGGGTTTGGGGTTTAGGGTAAGGCTGTTTAAGGCTTAGGGTATAAGGTTTAACGTTCAGGGCAGGTTTAGGGTTTAAGTTTTAGGGTTTAGGCTTTAGGGATTTTTGGTTTTCGGTGTGAGGGTTGGAGACTTAGGGTTCAGGGCTTAGGGCGCAGTGCACCTGTGCGGCGACTACGTGCATGTATGATCCGAAACCATGTGCACATATGAGCCGAAATCATGTGCACATCCGAAACCACAGTTTAAAATACTCATCTCACCCTGAGCCCTAAGCCCGTCCACCACCCGCGTCGTTCTGTGGGTACATGCGCGTTGTTGAGCAATCAGCGAGACCTTGGCAACCTGCCATTGGAAGGGACGCCCGCTCAACCACTGATTATGCGATAATATGGTAAGGTTGAGCTGGCTGGACCCGGAGGGGTGGCGGGCTTTGGTGTGACTCGAGTTCCCCCCCCTCCACTGCCCTCCCAGCCCCCCTCCATTCCCCCACTCCCCTCCATCCCTCCCCTTCCCCCCTCCCACCCCTCAAGCGCCATCTTCGGGCAGGTAATGAGAAAAGAGGAGGGCCCAGAATGCTGGCTGGCGACCACTCCAAATGTTGATATCGTTCGCTTTCGGAAAGCGTCTGTAGTTCTGCGCTTCGCAGTCAGGTTGCCAAGCGCCGAGACAATTCGATGAGGAAGGCCCTTCGGCCGAGACCCAGCTCTTCCAAACTTTCCAAGTGTGCCAAGTGACCCGAGTGTCGAAGTGAGCAAGTTCCCGAAGTGATCCAGGGGAGACCCAAATGTCCCGGTGACCCAAGTGTCCCCGAAATCCAAGCGCCCACATGTCCCAAGTCGCATGCGGCCCAAGCGATCCGAGCGCTCTAAGCGACCCAAGTTTGACGAAATGTGCAAATGTCCCAACTCATTGCCAAGGTCCCAAGTGGCCAAAAGTGTCCAAGTGTTCTAAGTGGAACCAAAGGGCGCGAAGTGTCCACGGCGTCCCAGGCATTTTCAGCCCAAGTCTTCCAAGCGTCCCAAGCGTTTCATGTGCCGATTGTTTGTTCGGACACGATTCCGGGCCTAAAAATCTTCGATGAAGAAAGCGTTTCGGCTCGAGAGGCCCCAGTGCAAAACCTACTCCTGCGACTTTACAAAGCATCCTAATCCTAAGTGTCCCTCGCGTCCACGATGCCCGTTTCCAAATGTCCCAAGCCTGCAGTGCGACATGTGAATTTGGTGTGGCTTAATTTTGGCTGGCTCTGATTTTGCCTCGGTGTGAGTTGTGATTGGGTGGTCGGGCATGTCTTCCACTACTGCGTTCAGCCCAATGCTACACCTAAAATTCTAAATCGTAAAACCCCAAACCCTCAAAGCCTCAAACCCCAAACATCCCTAATTCCCCAAGCCCCAAACCCACTCGAAATCCTCTCAACTGTTCTGGGCCCTAACCCTTTCTGTGAGGGTGCAGTGCGAGTATGAGGCGTTTCCATGTGCGGATGTGACGCGTGTGACCATTCGCATGTGCTTCGCCGCGTGTCCCTGCCCTTCTGCACTCTTTCTGAGGTCGAAGAAGCTACACGCCGAAGCGGCCCTGCGGGTGGAAACGCTTGAGAAGGTGCAGAGCTTGAAGAATTTGCAGTGTAGGATGGCCACGTGGGTGTGTCGAAGCTGTGGCTGCTGTGACTGCCAGCCCTAGTACATGCAGATAGCGACGTAGGAATTGGCGTCAGAAGCTAGACGCGGATTGGATTTACAGAGAATCACGGTTGAGATAGCTGGGGAGGGAGAGTCTCCAAATCGTCGGTTCACAGTTTCCGATGCCACGATACTGCAGTTCAAACAGCGATTCCTGTCTGATACTCCTGGATGCAAGGTCGTCCCTTGTTTTGAGTTCCGTTGTCAACGTGAGACAGTTGTCCTCACACATCGTGAAGCTCACTGAAGCCGCCCTTTTGAGCGTACTTGGAATGCAGGAGTGCCAGGAGATCAAAGCCCAACTGGAGATCAAGGAGAGACAAACTGCTGGGAAGCTAAGGGTCCCAAGCTCCCAGTTCATCTTGTGCCATGAAGCTGAACGCCTGCCAAGGCCAAGCTGGAAGTGGTTGTGGAGGAGCTGAATGTCAAGCAGCTGTCCCAGCAATGCGCAGCCATGCGCAGCAACGTGCAGAGTGACGGAGCTTCTGAGAACGTGTGTACCTCATAGGCGCTGGTACCTCAAGTGTGTTGGGAGCATTGTACCTCTAGAGGTTGGAGGACGCCATCCTGGAGTACACCGAGGAGCGGAAGCAAGCCAAGGACTATGTTCCTTGGCTGAGAAACTGAGCAACTGAAATGCAGAGCTGAATGCAGCACAGAGCGCGAGGCCGCTACGCGAGGCCGCAGCGCGCGCGTTTTCTGAGGCAGAGAAGCTCTACGAGAAAGACTCCAAGGTCAAGAAAATTGAAACTGAGGTGGGTCTCCAACTCTCCAACACTTGTCAACGAGGCAACCCTTAAGGGGCTCTGGGCAGGCCTCCTTCTCCAAGGACTCCGTTCAGCGGCTTTGTGGTGACATCAAACATTTTCAGGACAGGGATGAAGGCGATGAAGGAACACATGGCGTTTAGGTGCAGCCAGCTTGTTCCATGGACAGAAAGAATTTCTGTGAGGACAGGGAGCTGCAGCTTAAAGACCAGATACGCAAGCGGGAAGGTGCTCCGGGCCAATTTGGCAGCGAGTGTCGCCGATGACTCATTTTGACTCCACTTCCCCGCGGAGGTGAAATCGAGCAGTGGAAGCAGCGACTTGAAGAGTCCCGCGGTGAGGCATGTGACGGGTGGAGTCTGAACGTCTGAACTGTCTGAACGTCTGCTAAGTTCTCACGGCATATACGGCATTCATGGCATTCCATGCCGAACAGTGTCATGCTCTAGATCTGGCAGCTGCCGTGTTATGCAGATCTCCGAGTTGAAAGATGTCAACTGGCGCATCGCCGAGGTGCGCTTCCCAGTAGACATAAGGTACGACCTGAAGTGCCTAGCAGCTTGCTCCATATTCTCCTTGCGGCATGCCTCCGGGTCTTTGGACATTCCAGGACTTGGAGAAGTCAAAAGTGAGCTTGAGGGAGGTGGAGGCAGAGTGCACAGAAAAAGCTGCCCAACAGGAAAAATGCAGCGCAGAGAATCCATCTTTGACGTCGGAGTTTGTTGCGTCTTGAGCCGGATCAGGCCATGGTGAAGAAGACGACCAGTGAGCTGAAGTCGGGCAAGGGCCGAATGGTCGAAGCGGAGGTAACGCTGCCGTCCTCTCGACTTGTGGCGTGCCAAAGTTTATTGAGCAGGCAAGGAACATCGAGCTAAGCTCGAATGTGACGAAGCTGATGGAGGTTCGCGGGTGCAAATAAGAGCTTAAGGCCGACACGAATTGTTTGGACATGCGGCTTTCTTTGCGCAGGCGTTGGTGCAGGCCGAGGCACGAGAGAAGGAGGCCCTGCTGCCATGGCAGTGCAGTGATGGCTTGCGGGGATGTGGGGGGGGGGGGGGGGGGGGGGGGGGGGGGGGGGGGGGGGGGGGGCGGGGGTGGGCAAGCTCAGGATGAAATGCTGTAATAATTGAGGATAACACGTACGCCGCAGCCTGCAGACACACGAAAGGCTTTGGAGATGCTTGCAGAAGGCAGAGGCTGGGGCCTCTGGCTGCGTAGCGGCTTGGCATGTACGTTGAGCTCAATGTCTCGTTTCCTTTTGCAAGGACCTGAGAAAGAACGGAAAAAGAAGAAGATGCCGCTAAGATCTCGGACGACTGCTAGCTTTGAAGGCAGGAGGACATTCAACGGAGTTTCCGCAGACTGACTCATGGAGGGCTTGATACTCCTTGCATTTCCGTATCAGTCCTCAAAAAAGACTTCGTCCTTGCATTTCCGTATCAGTCCTCAAAAAGACTTCGTAATTTCCGTATCAGTCCTCAAAAAGACTTCGTCCTTGCATTTCCGTATCAGTCCTCAAAAAGACTTCGGAGGTGGCCGGACAGCGGCGAGCTGACTGGCTCGTGACGGCTAACGATGTTCCTACCTCTTCCCCGAAAGCGGTGTGGAAGCAGATATGCCAAGAGACATCCAGGCAGAGGCACGCCCTACCAGCCGCATTCGAGGTGGCCGAAATAGGTTTGCCACGACAGTCCCCATACGAATGCAAGCCTCGGCTGGTGTGGATAGAATTTGGACGCCTGCTCCACAAACGTGGAGACAGGAGTTGTTACTGACCTAGTGTCGGCCATGTGCTGGCCGTCTTCAACGGCTCGATCTGCCAAGCGGCGAAGAAAGCCACCGGGAGTCACCGAAAGGACTCCATGCGGTCCATTCCGAGGGCCGGTTGTGCAGCGGAGGCAGCATCTAAGAGGAATGTGGGATTCGCTGTTTCAAGACTGCCCATCTTGCTCAAGCTTCTGCTGTAGACCTGATGTAGACGTGTACAAGTTACAGTACTGGATACTCGGTCTCTTCTCGTGGGTAGCTTGGCAGCCCAACTTGCACGCTGCTGACCTGTTCAAAAGCGTCTCGGGCCACCGGCATGGGAGTGTGGTACATCGTGCAGTGCGATGCGCACGGTCCATGCTCGAAATCGCCAAGGTTCGACGGTGTAAGACCCTGAAAGGTGCGTGTCGGGGCAATGCCAGAGAATAGCCAGATGTATCACCATGAACGTATGGATAGCCCGAAGCATGTTAAGGGCCGGACAGAATGATATGTTATTCTGAAATTAATCCCTTGCTTGTGCTTTACCGTTTGAAATTCTCAAGTTGCATTCGGGATGCTGGCAAATGCAATACTGCCTTTTGAGTCCAAGCGTGTCCGTGCAATGGACTCAGATGCGTGTTTCCGATTTGGGCTGTTCAGGTTTACTGAAGTCAGGAGTAGCACACAGGCATTACTCGAAGCGTCCAAGCCCGGAACTGCCGAACCTTGGGAAGTGTACCTCTTCGGTTTTGTTGGATGGATCGGTCTTTGCTTAATTTGCCCTTGGGACCCGCAGCATGCCGACTCTGTCAGCACTCACTGCAGGATGCGCAAGCACGCGCAAACTTCTGCTGGAAGTTCGGACCCCCTTCCTGAGTGCAATCAGGTGCTCCAACGGCTCTACGCAGCTGTTTCAGAGTCGGAGCTGCCTTGACCTCATGTCTGAAGCTCCGCATGCAAACTCCCTCGCATGCTCCTTCGCCTGCCTCTTGTGACACCCCCGAATACCCCCGAGCCGTGTGCTTTGAGGCCCGAGTTTGCTCCATGCCCAGAGGCGCCCTGGCCGCCGTTGTCTGCACAGATGTGACATGCGCGATGGAATGTAGGCAGATGTAAGCAGCTTCATGGGGTTCCTGAGTTCAAAGTTCCCATGCTTGTTCTTAAATCGTGGTTGGTCAAGCGCCTGCTTGCTGGTGCTGTCTTGTTCCGCACAAGGCCTGCATGCTGAATTTGAGGCCACTTGAAGCCACCTTTGCAACATCCTGTCAGGCTTTCAATGACATGTCTGTTATGACCTTTCCTCTGAGCCTGCTCCAAGCCCTGAACACCGACCGGACGTCCACTCGCTCAGAAAATGGGAGCGGCTGCAGAGCTTCAGAATCTGGATCCACACAAAGTCCTGGTTCCTAAGCCGCATTGTTCCTGACATCAGACGCAGACGGACATAATGCTAATACATGACATCTTCCAAAGGTTTGCGCAAACATCAGCCACAGTCGTCTGAGAGAAGGCAGCTCGTGAAGCCTGTGTTTTTTTAACCTAGCCCGATGTAACAACACAACAGCCCACCAAAAGCACCGCCAAAGCCTTTAAAGGCTTTTCGCTTCTTAAGTCGTCTCTACTGGCCTGCGGCGTGTGCATGGTTTGTCATGCCCGGAGCTTGGTAGCAAAGTGCCCAAAAAGTGCCCCCAAGACCCAGGACACGTGAGCAAATGTATGCAAATGTCGCAAATGTCCACAGGCCCCGTGCAAGCTGCCCAGGCTGTGCCGATGGTTGCCACCATGCAAGGCCTGCGTCCCCGACGGCAGAGCAAGTCGCTGCTGTTCCAGTCATTATTGTGCTTGTGTGTGAGAGAGAACATCCGCTGCAGTGTGGCACGGGTACAAAGCTTTGAGAAAACCTGCAGCTTGGCTCCATTTTGTGTCAGAACAGTAGGGGCAGATTTTGAGGCCACCAGCTCATGGCTCCAATGACTCATGGCAAGCGCAGCCGTTCGCGCAGTTTCACAGCTGCCATGGAATTGCTCCTCCTTGCCACCGTCGCCTTTGAGGCCTTCAAGGCCTTCGAGCTGACCTTCGCCGCCCCACAGGCATCAGCACCAGCATCGACGCGGTTCCCGTCATCTCCGCGGGGCTTCGGCCGCTTTGAGGGTCGGCCTGTTACCGCCGTCACCTCAGCCGCCGCCTCAGCGTCAGAGATGTCTCCTTCACAAGTGTACTTTACAGGGATCGGCTGGTACCTGATGCACTTTGTCGTTAGCATTTGCAACGACGGCATCATGAAGTTCTTGGGCGAGAACCTGCCCCCCTTCCAGATCGTATTCCTCCGCTTCTCCGCAGCCGCACTCGTCTTGCTGCCAGTGCTGGCGATCCAGGGGAGGAGCGCCTTCAAGTCCGCAAGGCTTTCCATGCATGCGGGCCGAGGAGCGCTGCTTGCGCTTGGCATTGGCTTGTGGTGCTACGGACTTAGCATCATGCCTTTTGCTTCATGCGTCGTTATCAATAACACGATGCCGTTCTTCAAGATGCTCTTTGCGCAGCTTATTCTAGGGGAAAAGGTCGGGAAGCAGCGATGGCTGGCAAGCCTTGCCGGCTTCATAGGCTGCCTCATCGTCTTCAATCCCACAGCCGCAACTTTCCGGCCACAGTCGCTGGTGCTGCTTCTGTCCGCATGCTGCTTTGCGATGCTCGACATCTTCAACAAGAAGTACACTACCTCCGAGACCGTCACATCAATGCTGTTCTGGGGCTCTTTGGCCACTGCCGCTATCTCAGCGGTCCGTGCAATTCCTACTTGGGTAAAGGTCACTGGCCCCCAGATGGCCCTGATTGGATGCTTGGGAGTTGGCGCGAACTTCCTCCTTTTCTGCCTGCTCCGCGCTTTCAGGTACGTGGATGCCTCAGCAACCTGCCCGTACAGGTACACTGAGTTTGTGCTCTCAGCCACCGTCGGATTCTTCTTATTCAAGGAGATGCCCTCCAAGTCCACACTCCTTGGGTCTTGCATAATCCTGCCTTCGGTGATTTATACCGCGCTTGTCGAGAGCAGAGAGGCCAATCAGGAGCAGACGTCAGAGGACAAAGTGGAGGCTTGAGGGCAAGTTCAACATCTTCGCAGGTGGACACTTGGGTACATTTGGCAATAGATATACCCTCTTGGAGACCTCCTGGCAGCTTCCGGGCAGTTTCCTAGGCTGGAACACTGCCTTTTGCTTCTCACCCAAGCTGGGCTGCGGCAAGGCTGGCATGCAGGCTGTTTCCTCATGTTTCCTCATGCTCCAATCACGGAGGTTTCACCTAGATCGAACGGAGGAGAGGGCTGTACACAGGTCCGAGAACTAGAAACACTGGCAAGATGCTGTAGGTGTTGCTCGTCGCTCCTGCCTGAAAGAGGCTGTCTCTCGCCTAGCCGGCCCATGCAGAAGCGGCCTGCCAATGTGGCGGTCGAGGCGTGGATTCTGGATGTCTGCAAGCATCTGCTAGAATCTGCCGTTGCGCCGTGAAGGCCTGCCTTCCCTTCAAGCCCGCTGCCCGGGGTGCGGTCGTGCGCCGATGCAGGACAGGGCCTTCCGAAGCAAGAGGCGGGTTGTCAGCCGTGCCATGCCGTGCCTGTGGAGCCTGGCTTCTGAAATCTTCTGGCCAAGAGGTCATGGAGCCCTGGGAAGAGCGCCTCAACGATCGGCCTTTCCGACTGGAAGAGATACCAGGCAACCTGAGAACATCTGAGAACGTTGGCGGCTGCACTGGCACGTGCCCTGATGGGAAAAGGTCGTGGTTTCGGTGCAGTGGCCACCAAAGACCTGCAGCGGTGACCTCAGTCGAAGAGCACACCGAAGCACCATATCACGAAAGCTAGCTCCTTGGAGCTCGCGAGAGTTGTCGTTTACAAGTCTTCTCTCTAGTGTTCAGCTGGGTCAAAAAGAGACCCGACCCTTAAGTGGTATGAAAATCAAAGAGATAAACGGCCGTGGGGGGGGCCCCCCCCTGCCCCCCCTTATAGGATTGACAGAATCAATCTTAAGGTGTCCCCCCCCCCCCCCCCCTTTCAGGGCTTAACTGATTTCTGGGGAGGGGGGCGGGGGGCCCCCGTCAGGCTCCTGCTGTCGAGCCCTGACTCAAAAAAGCTTGCTTGTCAGCCGTGTTTCTAGCTTTCGTAGCCCAGATCTCAAGTGACAATGTTTGGCAAGCTTCTGCATAGCAACCTGCCCAAAGGACCGGCGATGTGGTGCTCCTAGAACGTCCAATTGTGGCGATTCGAAACGATGAGAAGGGCCCAGAGCCTACTTCTCTTTCTGCCGCTATGTCGTGAGGCGTGTTCAGGGGGCATCTTGTGCGGACTTTGATCGTGATTTCAGGTGATGAGTGGAACCATGAGCTCCACAGCCAGTGCGCAATCAAGATAAAGTCTCCCAGCACCATCCTCCTTCTGATATGAAAACAGACCGGACACTTCGCACAGGCACAGTCAAGCTCATATTCAGCTTGCCGAGTGCTTCGCAGACTCAGCGACATACGTTCATGCTACTTCTGCACAAAAGAACGTGAGAGGCGCCACAAGCTGTGCACCAAAGACTCATGCCAAAAAGGACCCGGCCTGTGAGGTACAAGGCGCTCTCTGAGGAGGGCCAGGCTGAGGTGTGCTCTGCTTATGGTCTTTCTCTGTGTCCTTCCCTTCATATGATGCCATGATATATCCCAGAGTCTGCAGAAGAAGACGCAGCAATCCAAGGTAATCCAAGTCGAACTTTCCGAATCCGGTACAGGTGTGGAAGCTTCACGACGCATGTCTCCAGAAGCCGGAGAAGTGCAGGGCTGTGGCTAATGCTTCATTAAAAATCATGGCCGTTTGGGTGAGCGTATGGGTGGACTGTACTTGACTTACGGAGGTCACTGGAGGGTATTCTCTTCACCAACTGCATCGGCCGAGATCAAAGTGTGAGGCAAGGCCTCTATGTTGACGCAGAACCTGCTTGAGGAGGGTGACTTTGTGTGCGAGTTACACCGTGAGGTGTAAGTTTAAGTTACACCGTGAGGTTCGACGCGGCGCTCTGTTTGCAGTTGAGTCGGTTCAATCATGGCTGCTGCCAAGCTCCGAGATACGTTTGTTGCAGCCGTTTTTTTGTGTCGAAGTACGACATAACAAGACTAAGTGCAACTAATGTCTGCAAGCATGAGGCCCAAATCTGGAGCAAAGTTGGGATGAGGATGCCGGGCATGTGGCCGCCTCACCTGTCTTGGAAACCTCTCTTTCATGGTTCAGCGCTTTGAGACGAGGCCCGGCTTGTTGCTGCACGGCCAGTGAAGGCCGGCGAGGAGCTCTTCACACACTACGTCCCGGCCCTGCAAGACCGGGGGTGGGGGAGTTCGCCAGCGCCAATTTTGAAAATCTAAGCCCTGGACGGTCGAAAGCTCTACAATGAAGGGCTTTCTTAAAGATGCTTTTCAAGTGCTCAGCTACGCTGATCCTTGAGAGCTTTTTGGCGCGAGTAAGGTGGAGCTGAGGCTCGCGCGCGAGGAGAGGCGACAGCGGCTCCAGGAGTCCTACGGCTTCTGGCTCTGCCCTCAAGGGCCCTAAAATTGAGGCCCATTCAGGGCCCATGTAGGCCCTGTTTCCCTTTATTCCTGCGCTGCTACCCTTTCCGACTTGTTTTTCTAAGGTGTACATGTGACGTGTGCTCGCAGCCTGACTTTGCAGACAGCGACAAGCGACGGTCGGGTGGTGTCTGCACATTTTCTAGCTGGCCGCAGCGGAAACTTCCTTGCGTTTATGTCTGTCCAGGACTGACATGGGTCGTTCAGACCTCAGAGCCTTTTTGTTTGCTGTCTCAGGCGGGTGCGCTCGCTGCCTCAGACGCCTGACATGCAATCACGACAAACCACGAACACCTAATTGGACATCATCAGCATCATCATCATCATCATCATCATCATCATCATCATCATCATCATCATCATCATCATCATCTGCAACATCAGCATCAGCATCATAAAGTGCAGAGCCCATCTCTGGTGGCACGTAGTACATATGGAGTAGATGTGGCATATTGCGTATTGTGCATTATGCATTACACATTTGCATCATGTATGACTCATTACAAGTATTGCGAATTATGTATTGCGTATTCGTAGTACGTATCACAAGCATTGTTTTTCTTTTGATTTAAACGTCGGTGTTATCCTGTCTTCTTGCATGCTGTTCTTCTCGTTGAGGTTATGCTGCTATGCTCCTATTTGTTGCTTTTGTTTGTTTTGCTTCCTCGTTTGTTCTTATGACTGTGGTTGCATTTTTTGCATCACAAACATATGTCGTTACAACACCGTCCTATGAACTAGCTTTACAATTCCGAGCCAGATCGGCTTGTTAAGTTTTATTACGAAGTGGATGTGTTGGGTATGCCTGGTCCATGCCGGGGCTTTTTTTGGGGAGACCTGAGGCCTGGACAAGAGCATCCGGAAGGATGGCTTGACGAACTTGGAGCAAAGTGAAAGGGCCGCAGCCTTGGTCCCCCACAAGAACACTTTGAAGCCGGGATCACGGAACCCCCTTTCTGCAGAGGCATCTGAGAAGTATGCTATAGTATGCCCTTGCGCATGGATGTCCTTGGCGGGCGCTGGGCACGCCCTGAAATTATCGCACGAGCAGTTCAGCAATGCCGTCGCTGCAGATGGTGAAGAGGCTCCTGAAGCTCTACGATCAGGACCGGCGCGATCACCATGCCGTTCCCGAAAAGGTTCGAACATGGTAAACCGAACAATCTAATCAATCTACATCTTTTGCGGAGGAAGGGCTGGCAATGTTTAGCTGGAGAAAGCTGATGGGCACTCGGTTGAGAGTTTTAAAGCTCATTCTCTCATGCATTGTTCATGTTTCGCAAGACCAGCACGAGGCATTGCCTTACCGCCATGGAGATGGCATTGCGGCGCAGTGCGCGACTGAGATCAACAGATCAATCGAAGAAAGCGCTTCACGTCGAAGAATCGCTTCAATCGGAAGATTCTCCTTGCAAAGGTGATCTTCCCGTCGCTGTCCAGTGGGCGCGCAAAGCCCATGAGAATGCCAGGCAGGGCAAAAAGGGTCGCAAGGCCTATTAGAGCAGCTTAAGGGGAGGGACTCCGTAGGTTGGCTCACGGTCCAGACCACCGAGATACACGCTGGTGTGCAGAGCTGATGAAGGCAGCGATCTGGTTCGTCGTGTGTTGTGGATAAGTTGGTGTCCGGCAATGTTTGCTTATTGTGACGAGGATCCTTCCAGTCATCCTTCGTTTGGCTACCGAAGTCAGGCTGTGACACTCTCAGAGCGACGTCTCGCCTTGTTGTTCTTATGGATCGAGTGGTGAGGTCAAGAATTGGGCAACTTATGCCTTTCTGATTACAGTCCTCATTGCAAGGGGCCTGGGAAGGGCGCGCCAACGCAATGTGAATGCCATGCAACGCAGCGCAGCTCACTTGTAGCATCTTGTAGTGACTGAGGCCTTGAGCCCGTGTGTTCTTTTTGATTTGCGTACAGAAGATAAACATCCTTACCGCGGCATCCTGGGGATTGCAAGTGTCGACGGGGTGAGCCAAGCTAGTTATGTCAGTTGCGTCAGCAGCAGCTTTTGGAAGTGTGAACTGCATCATCTTGCATCTGTTGCCTTTGAGCTCAGGTCGCGTCCGCCATCATGTACGAGTGATCGGACTGTATCAGACCATGGGCTCCTCACCGTGCTGCCGTTGCCACACAGCCGAAGTTTCTGACAGGGCCATGTGAGCGTGTCACCAGCTGATTTTCGCGTGGAAGGGGCGCCAGTGTCTTGAAAATTGTGCCAGCCAGGGGTAACGTGGTCATATATGTTTGTATTTCTGTTTGCAGGCAAATCAAGTTTCAGACCTGGGCCCGGCTGATTCTTTCAGATGTATTGAGATTGAGATTTTTAGGACCTTACGGGTTCCATTCCGGGGCATTCAAGGCTGGTGACGCAGAATGTCGCTGAGAAGCATCATGCTGTTCGAAGTAGAAACGACAGGCTCAAGTTGAGCTAGTAGATCAGCAGTGGCATCTCAGAAGCTTTGCCGCTTGTGGACATGTCACGGAGCACGTAGCAGATCCCATGTTTTGGTAATCTTGGTGTGCAGACAAACTTGGGCGGTGCGTTTCGCACCCATGTCGGATCCGAAGGCCAGTGGCAAATTTTCTCTGCGGTAGTGTGCATGATGCTGATTGCACAGGCGCATGCCTTCTTAGCAGCATTGCGGCCTTGTGCTTTGTGTTCTTTGCCAAGGCCAACCTCAGGGGTGTGGTGGGGGCAGCAGCGGCCATCGTGCTCGTCTCCCGAATCCGAGACGACACGATCCCAGAAGCGACAACACGACACTTCGACACTTGAGTCGCTGTGGCATGAGCTGCTACGCCTTACTTCTGTTGTCCGAGCCATCTCCTCAGGTCAGACACCTTCCGCGATTATTGCTGGACAAGGCTTTGGGAAATGGGAAGATCTGGATCGTTCTGTACATGGATTGGATGCTTCTCTGCCCCGGAGGGTTCGCCTACGCAAAGCTTGCATGTCCTGGCATCGTCGCTGGCGATCTATGGCAGTGGGCCATAGTTCCTTGCAAATCTGCACGGCACGTGCAAACTGCTACTCGCTGCTACTTGACTCACTCGAGGCTATGAGCGTTTTGTGGCCATGATCTTACGCCGTCTCGGAATGACCAGGAGAAAGAGCGGGAAGCGTAGGCTGTAGTAGAGCAGACATGCTGTAGTGGGGGCCTTGGTGGGAACTCCGTTTGTCGTGGCATCCTCAAGCTGGCATCGTTTGGTCTGCGCGATGAAGCGCGCCAGTTTGAAAGGAAGAGCGCGCCCGCGCGCCGCCCGCGCGCCCGCGCGCCCGCGCGCCCGCGCATGCGCTCAAGAGAGAGTGCAAGTAAAAGAGCGCAGGATGCCCTCCACCTTGGCGGCGATGCTCTCCCTCTTCGCCGCATTGCGCTGTGCCGGGGGCCCCATCGACTCGACGGAGGCTTCGCTTTCAGGGCTGTGCCGTGCTCAGGTGCAGAAGCTGAGGGACCGGCAGACATCCGACAGGCTGGGCATGCCAATGTGCATCTACGAGCCATACAGAACGCAGATGCAGCACCACCCCTGAAGCTTGCAGAAGCCTGGCTGAAGTTTGCTGAAGCCCCTGCTTTCCGGACAGATGTTGCAGGCTTGCCGATCTCTTGAAGCCGGGCGTGGATTTCCTTGGCAAGTGGATGGGCCTGTTCCTGGTGCATTGGTCGCTATTAAGAAGTATACACGTGCAAGAGGCGTCGCACACATGCAAAGATGCCCAATCTCATTAACTTCCTTCCACTGGTCGACTCGGCAAGTCACGTCTTTGATTAGCCGAGGCTCCCCCGCTGGTCTCCTTGGATGCTTCCATTGCGCGGCTCCCACCATACAGTCGCTCGGCTCAGCTGCTGCGATGTGTTTGCGATGAGCTCTTTCCGGTGCGGTGCGGACATGCGTCTGAAGAGAACGAGGGCGCGCATTTCAGGCGGAGCAGTTTGGGCCAACACATCGGCCTTGCTCGGAATTGGATGGGGTGCGACGTCGGCCTCACAGTGACATTGCATGAAATTGCCTATTCTAGTTGACACATGTTGACAACAATGTTGACACCCATGTTCCAAGGCACTGTGCTGCTGCCGCTGTCGCCTCCTCCTTGGTGCCGCAGCGCGCTGCACCGTGGGCAGCTGAGCCTCTCCCGATGAATTTCAAAAGGAATTTTGGCAGGGCATGTCCAAACACTCATTAATTTCTCTGAAATAATATGGAGCCAAAGTGCAACGGCTGCTCCAAAATCCTGAGATTTTGCATGAAGGTAAAGTCGGTTCTCCCCTGTTACTCGTACTACGACAAAAACCGCCTGACAGCCTTACATATGAAGGCTCGGTACATGAACCTGCCTTATGAGTCTTAATGATGTTAACTCGCCAGAATTACTCTTAACTTTTCTTAATGATGAGTCGTACGTACAGGAACTGCATCTGTAGAATAATCGAGCTCGGCCTAGCTCCCAGAGTCTGACTTCGAGCTGACCAGCTCACTAGCAGGACACCGGCGAAGTCCGTGGCAGCACCTGCTAAGCAGGAAGCCAACGGCAATACGCAGGTGGTGAACCCAGTGAACCCAGACCTGCCCCACATGCTCTATTTGCTCGAGCTGGCTAAAGTGAGGTCTCTCAGGATGAGGCAGTACGACGCTCCTGGGTTTTATTGGGTGCGGCTGGCTTTCTGGGAGTGTCGCAAGCTCAGCTGTCGCCGCAGCAACTTGCTTGGACACAGGGTTTGAAGCTTGCCTGATGATGTGCTAGCTTCAGGGCTTGTTCGCCAGCGCTGCCGCTGGTGATGCATCGACCGCTGGGGTGCTGCTTGCATGGTCTCAATCAGTGGGCGACCAGCCCAATGCTTTTTCACACGATGCGGTCTCATTTACGAGGGTGCAATGTGCTGTGCCAGGATGTTGTGTGAGATGAGCACCACCGTGTGTTCGTTCGCACTATCGAAGCTTCTTCCAGACGCCGTTCAGGACGTCTGCGAGTTTTCCTCAATGTAACTCTTGAGATGACATGCTTCGATGCTTCGAGCCTGTGCCCAGCGCGTGCTCCACCCCCTCGTGATATGCGCGGTGTCTTCCAATCTGGCGCCAGACTGGCATGTTTGCCACGTGTTTGCCACGTGTCGTGTTCATCAATGGTTGCAGCATATTACAACTTGCATCTCCTACTTGTCTGCAGTTTCTCACCGTAAACCTAGATCCGCACGGCAGCACTTTGGGTCTGTTACCTCCCGTGTCAAGCAGGTACACGCACGTCTAGGCCCCAAGCCCCCTTGCACAACTTTGGCTTGTACCAAGCCGGAGGATGTTCGAGGTGTTGCATGGTATCTGCCAGATCGCGATTTGTTGGGCCGACAGCCCCTTACTTCGATGAAGGACGAGGAGCCCCTGGCTCAGGCTTGTCAGGCATTCGGCGATAGGCTGGTGTCAATTTCTTCATCCCTTGAGGTTGGAGACAAACTGTTCCAATGGCTTCCTGCGGCGGTTACCGGAAAGAGCCTTAGAGCGAGAATACATGCTGTATGCATGGTCGATATCCCTGTCTCTTTTCTGTCTCTCCCTTTCTCCTTTCAGTCTAAGTGTCAGCTTGCAACCTCCAGCTTCCTACTTCCGGGAAATTGGTACTTTCTTTTTGCGTTCTGTGAGGGAGAGGATGTGGGTGGGGCAGGGAGGGCGCGCGGACTGAAGTTTTCAGGAAGCCTCTCAGACCCTAGATCAGAGCAACGAACGTATGATAGCGTATGCGTGATTGTTTCCTACCAGGCCTTGGTGTGAGGATGTACAACACCACTGGCCTTTGGCTTGACAACGCAGACGATTTCAAGTGTGCACCGTGGCTGCATGTTGTTGCTTCTCAGAAGCTCAGAAGCTCCGGCAACGAAGTGTCGCATCCGCAGTGCTTCGAGGTGTTGGCCACATGCTCGGCCTCGGGCTGCCTGGAACTCAAGCCGAGAAGAGCAGCTTGTGGACCTTGTGAGCTTTTCCGTGCATCTTCATTAAACTTTGTTACGCGGCTGTTAGAACTTAGAGTATCACCCCAATAGCAAACACCCGAACATGCAGAAACCCTTTCCGAGGCTTTTCCATTCTGCTAACGACTCTTGGTGCGGTGAACCCGAAGTCTCCGCTGACAGTGCCAGCACCAGCCGGGGCCGCAAACCCTTCATCGGCACTTTCACCATGAGATTGCACGTTGCGCAATGTTGCATAACTGTTGCATACTTGCCCCCCCCTGCGTGCAGCTCTCGCTCCCGTTGCTCCACCGTTCAGTGATGTCGGCTTTGGGCATCGAGGGCTCGCAGGCCTGACCAAGCTCAAAGCATTCCCGGAATGTTGCTGCTCCAACGTTGCCCACATACATGTTGCGTGTCTTCCTTATTCATGATGAATAAATTCAGTTGCCTCAGTTGACGTATGGTGACTGAGTGCGTGTCAATTTGAAGCCCCGCTGGAGGCAATTGGGCCGGAGTGTGACCCCAAACTCGCTGTGGCATCCATCCTCATCACAGGGTGGCAGCCTTGCTTGTGAGCATGCATTCTGAGCACATGTCGTCCTCAAATGCCCTCAGATGCATTGGGGCTTCTCTGGGCAACACCCTGCTGGAAGCATTCCCGGCAATCTTCAAATCGTGCTGCTGGCTTGCTTTGGGCCTGTCGCTGTTGCCGCAGATCATCACAGAACACGCAGCAAACATGAAGGTCCTCGCCACTTGTTCGTGGTGTCGCCATGGGCTGCTCTGCGCACTCGATTGGCACCGCCGGGCTCATCTCCTTCGGGGACAGTCTCTTGGAACCTCTTAGAGACTGTGATAGACATTATGACACGTTGCAAAGGTCAGAAATCGTTTGGCACAATGTGCATGTCATGGGGAGGACACAGAAGCAGCGGCCATTTCCGGAGCCTCAATGCCCAGAACTCAGTTCGATGTGACTCGATCTCGCGTCCAAGCCGAATGTTGAAGGCTTTGAACCTACTTGGTGGCCTTGCCGCAAGGTGCCTGGCTGGTACAATGCACACTCTGGCCCTGCGCACAGCATTGATGCAGCTGTTGCCCAGATACTGCGGCGGGACATAGCAGGACACTGTCTTATGTCTCATTTGTCTTGCTCCGGGACAGGTGCTCCAACTGCCTGGAGTGGTGTCTGGTATCCGTTCTCTGGTGTCTGGCCTAGCATTGGGCGGTTTTTCGGGCAGGCCGGTGCGATGCGCATGGAGCTGCTTTGGAGCTGCAGTACAGCTGCAGAGTTCCGCAGAAACAATCGAGTCTTATCGAACCTTCAGTGGTATGGCCTCGGCTGTTCGTCTTCTAAGACATCTGCGTTTAAGGCAGCGCTCCCCGCGTTGTCATGAGATCCGAGATACAGCTCCGCACTTGGAACTAGTACTGACTAGGCCAGAATCGGTCATACATTTTGTACAAGGTTTTGGTGATGTGTTCCTGCGGGTCAGCTGCCATGATCATGCGGTTCCCGGAGCACTTGCCGTACCGAGGCCTCCGCATGTTTGTCGCGCCGGCACCTGGTGAGCTCTGCCATATTCCGCCATACAGCAATTTTTCAGCAGTTCTCCAAGGGGGCAGACACAGATTGCCAACGACCTGAAGTCTCGTCTGCATGATGCACATTCCGTGACTAGCTCTCGCCCCTGGCTCGCTTCCGATAATTCGGGCATGCCGATGTGCAGATTTCTTGTACATGAGTTTGGCTGATACAGGCCAGAACAATCTTGCGCTACTTGTGAAAGCCTTCTGCCAGACTTATGGCGGAATGCTAGACACTCCCTAAGCCTCAGCAAAGTCCGGCCTTGGTACCGAACATCAGTGTGTAAATGCCGATAAGAGAGATGCAGTAGACGGAGGACAGCATCTCATGATCATTCATGATCCACGGACCTATGGATGTGCACTTGGTTGTTACTTCGCTTGACAGGGTTGCGGCTTACAGGGTCAGGGCATGGAGGGGAGTCCACAGTGCTGATGTCGGCCACTGACCGTAAAGGCAGGAAGGGACCTGCCTTTGCGGTCCTGCGATTCCGACCCCCAGTCGACGGTCGAGCAGCGGTCGATCGAGCATTCTTGGCATTCTTCTCCTATTTATCGGCTTATCCGAACAATTTCGCGGCAAGTCTTCCTTCGTCTACCATCAGGAAGCAAGACCACAAGCAGTCGAGAGAAACTGCAGCGTACAAACGTATGTGACTGCATGAACTGTGTGGGAGACATGGGTCAATGGGTTGTGGCCTTCTCTAATTTGCACTCAATGTCTCAAATGACCTTGTGATACAAGGACGAACCTTTTCAAGAGCTGAGCAGAGGGTGCTGGGACAACCCCCCCCCCCCCCCCAAAGTTCACGATGCCAGGCGTGCTATGCTGCGTTGCATCTTGTGGCTGTCATTGACAGGCAAGGACGGTACTTGCGAGGGTCATCGGTGCGCCGCGCTCCCTTCAAGATCAGGGAGGTGGGGATGAAGTCCAGATCGGTCCAAGTCCCGTAAACGGAGGAATGTGGCTGTGGGTGTCCGTTTCAGGAGCCCAGATGCGCGACGGGTGCGCTTCCGACAGGCTCGGGAGTCTACTCTTCTTTCCCGAAGGAGGGGCTTGAAGTTGTCAACGCCATTGGCACATTGGCGAGGATCCTGACATCATTGAAGTCGTTAGCTGGAAAGATGTAACCCACCTCATGCACTACAAGGCGAAGAAGAAGCTTCACGAGGACTGTCGGCTTCTCTGTGCTATGAGGGGCAGAGGTTTATGTCGGCGGTAATGCCCGGCACCTCCGGAGACCGTCATTGCCACGGTTAGCCTGTCGACACTGCACGGACCTGACGATGGACAGGAAGAGTTTCTACTTAGTGCCTGCTCTTCCCTGCCTCATCGTTTCGCTCTTGTGGCCGCCTTGATGCCCATGGCAGCTTGGCAAGCAGTAGCCGGTCTTGGATCGGAACGTGTCTTCAGTGGTGATGCTCGAACGTGGGCGCTGAGGTTGTCCGGTTTGCATTCGGGCTCGTCGACACAGTGATGCGTGTTTGAGGTGCAGACCTGATGCCTGCTCCTCACAGGGTCAACTCTCTCTGGCGAGTCATGCAGACTTGCATTGCTCAGGAACGCGCGATGAGTGCAATGAGTTGAAGCTGACTGAAGCCTTGTTGCAGAGTGGTTGAAGCATCACTTCTTGCATTGTGATGGCTACGTGGGTCTTTGCCCCGAATTCGTGGCAGCATTGCCTGCGCACCGCAGGTGTTTCCAGGCTGTCCATGGACGAATCAAGTCCTTGTGAAGTTGGTGAAGCTGTCAGGTGCAGGAACATTTATCTGGGTTCAATCCCGAGAGCGTCTGGAGGGCTCCTCTTTGGATGCCGTTGGGTAACACTGCACTTGAAATGACAACTTGCCTGACTTGTTTCCCTCACACTTTCTTCAATTATACCTGGCTTTGCTCTGAATTTACAGAGCGAGCAGGGCCGCACCTCGGAGTTTTCTGCGCCAAGGTCTCCGTCCTACATTCCGTGCAAGTTGCGAACGCGTAGTCTAGGATTCTAGGGCTCCCTGAGCTCCCTCTGCCTCAACCGTGCACTGTTTTTGCTGCATGCCGACGAGCCTGGCTTGAAACATCTCTGGATCGATATGTGGTGAAAGCAACGTTTCAATCAGGCATGCCTGATTTCTCTGCAGGTGCCAAGTTCGTCCGCGCCCACGCGAGTAGCAACCGCAGACGGCAGCGCAAACTCATCCCCGCGACCCAGAAATGCTCGAAGCGTGCTCTGTAGCTTGTTTTGTGTTTTAGAGGCCCGAAACGATGCTTCATGATGCTTTGACGCATCTCACCAACATGGGCCAGCGAACGCCTAGGCACGTCGATGCATCTCAACAAACAAGTCGGTATAAGCGACCGCTGCAGCAAAGTGAGTCTGTCACTGGACACATCTCAAAACACGCCTCTGCGTATGTCGATGGAAGACTGGGTGCACCTATGCGTTTTGAAGCGCAGGTCCGAAATCACAGATACATGTCGCATTGAACTGTCTGTATTTCTGCACACCGATTTATGCAAGTCGTTGTCACAGCAAAGCGCAGGTCTTCGCAAGTCGATGTGTGGGAGGACTTTTGTGTAGATCTATGTAAATGTATCTCCTAGCGGTCCGCCTTCCAGACGCCTAATCTCTGACATATCTGACATCGGCATCTTTAGGGACAGGCTTGGACCGGTTGTGATGACACAATGACTCTTGGGACCCCCCAGTGCCCCAGTGCCCAAATTGCCAAGCCTTGCCTTTTTCACGTTCGTGAGCTTCTTGAGCAGGTCGTCGCCATTTAGTAGCATCTGTACCTATGTCAGCCAACCCTTACATCTTCTGTTTTCATGCTTTTGGGACCCGTGTCGTCCAGGCCAGGACGCTCGAGTCCTTACCCTTTGAAGAGAGGAGTTGTGGCAACTTTAGGGACTCAGAGAGCCTGCTCAAGATGGCCCCAATACCTATCAGTGATCTTCCTCCTGAGGCCGTTCGTGGCTAGTTGACTCTTCGAGGGATTTTCGCCCGAGAGGCTGATCCAAACGGATAGGCTCAGACCCTCATGAACATAGCGCCGCTTGCTGTATGTAGTGGGCAGGGTGATCAGTGGTGATCACGCATGGACAAAAAGGGGCCGTGGTGTGCTCGCAGCAGAACAACTGGTCTCCTCAATTTCCACTCGGCATGTGATGCGCCATGTATGCTTGCAGGACACTGGCTCACCAAGTAAGGGCTTGGTGGACACGGCCAGAGAGTAGGCTGATAGGTAAAGGCGAGGCGATGGACTTGCCAAGACCTGTCGTCATGGACTCCGAAGGCTTGCTTGGGTCGTTTGCAGATGCTTGAAATGTCGCACATCCTTTCAGATCGTCACAGTCCGTCTGCATGCGTGTGACTCATGACGTGGCCAGGAGATGGCCTCAGAGTCGGGCGTTCCCTCCTGGAGCGGCTCGTGCTCGCAGGTAGCAAGCTCACACCGGAAGGTCTGAAACCCAAGCTCATCCATGTCCAATGTAATCAGACACAGCCGTTTCCTTTCCAGTCAAGTAAGAAGCTTCGCTTACGCCAAGGCCTGCTTAATCTTGTCCGGACCCCCTCCGAGTTTGACAGGCCGGGTGAATGCAATCCCTGAGAGGTGTTCCGGAAACCATGACAAGCTCAGAAAGTTGAGCAGCCCGTTGGTGTGGTGGGCAGTCTTGCAGGCCCGTGGCCTCACTGTCGGCAGAGCCGCTGATGGAGAGCCATCCTGCATGCGAGAAGGCAAGCCCTCAGAAAGCGAAGCGTGTCCACTTCCAGGCCCAGATGCCTCTCTTTCTCTCTGTCTCTCTGTCTCTCTTTCTCTCTTTCTCTCTTCCTCTCTTTCTCTCTTTCTCCCTTTCTCTCTTTCTCTCTTTTTTTCTTCGAGAGCCAGTCAGTGGTATCTGCTCAGAACCAGAGAGAAGAGAGGAGCACCTGGACATCATCGAGGTGGTTAGCTGGAAGGATGAGACCCGCCAGATGCACTACAATGCCTACGGTCACTACGGTGAGGACTCACTGCCCTCAAAAAGAAGATAGGAAAAGTGATATTGAAGTGGGGTGGCGCATGAATCAGGGAGTCAGTGGTTTGCAAAAGAAGTGAGTACTTCAAATTAAGAGGAAAGTCTCATTGCCCAACTGAATTGGGACCAGGACATCCTTGTTGAGTCTGCGAAGCTTCTGCTGCAGACCGCTAAGCGTCTCCTATCTTCACGTGTCGCATTGGCATCTGCTTCCGCAGCTGCGATGACCGGCATGGCACCTCGGCTGCTGGAGTCGACTCGAGTCGCTTGGGTCCCGCTGGGGTGCCCGGCTACTTGTGAAATTTCGAACGCCTTGTATCGTTTGCAGTGCTTCTTCCTGCCATGCAAGCAAGCATGACAGGAATGATGCCACAGATTATGCTGAATCCATAGGTACGTCAGCGAGCCAGGGCAGTTGTTTCTGAGTTGTGGTGAATGATGGGCTTCAGCTTGCGCTCTCAGGTTGCACTTGGAGTTGTCAATCCAATGCAGCAGTTCTGAAGGTTTCACCGACAGCACACGACGAGATGTCTTAGGACATCTTCTTTTGGTGTAGGATTTGCATGTCCCACAGAATGGCTTGGGATGATTTGATACCACCTGCTGAGCAGCTTGCTTAAGCTTTTCCCTCGCCCTTCATTGTGGCGAGTCCTGTGCTACATTACAGGCATGTTCAGGATTGAGGGGCTCAACTCGCCTCTCTTGTCTTGGGTCAATTTTCAGAAGGCTTGTGGTGCAGCATGCCGTTCGAAATTAGCTAGACGGACGGGGTGCACATGCGCCACTTGGCCCTGCTCTGAATTTGAGGAAGTCAAGTGACTCCATGAGCGAGTTACGACTCCCAAGCTGGTGGACACCACGAACTACGAGCACGACGTGCCACTCCAAAGCTTATACTATTAGATGACTAAATGTTTAACCCACCCTAAACCTCTCAGACTCACGACGAAGTAGCAAGTTAGGTCCCAGGACCAGGAGTGGTGGCAGCTTGCCAAGGAGCTGAGTTGCATCAAATTGCATCTTAGCGTGCGCAAGAGCATTGCTAAATCTGCCAAACTTGTTTGCCCTGTGTGTCGCAGCTCTGGTGCAAGTGCCGGGCATATCCAGATTGCATTAGGCGTCAGCGCTGCATCATCCCGCCCATTCATGAGGCGCATGCGTAGCCGTAAGGCAAACACAAACTCCGCCTTCCACGATCGGCTCAAGCTTCGCAGGGTAGTCCTGGAGTCCCGCTGCGTGCGGAAGCATCGCGAAAATGTTGCAGTCTATTGCCCTTTTCGTTCTCACAGGCACAGGTGTCCACAACTCAGAATATCCAACACCAGCCTAAGTCCTGGGTAGATAGGGAGGCGAAAGGTTGGCGCCACATGATTTGACGATTGTGCGGTGCTCGCTCGTTGCATGTTGGCGAATGCTGCCCGGAGAATCGCGTGCCTGTCCTGTGCAAGGCAGAGGCGGCGATGTTGTTGTCTCAGAATGAGAAGTTGCGGAAACCAGCTGAAACACAGGAGGGCAAAAGCAAGGGCTGCAATTGAAGCTCGAGGTTTGCACGGCTCGCACACAGCATTCAGCTGGGCCCCGCCTCGTCGCTTGCACAAGCCCAGCACTCGGCGCAGCGCAATGCAACTTCCATCTCTCACCGTCTCTCACCGTGTCTCACCGTCTGTCACTGACTCTCGCCGTCTCTCACCGTCTCTCGCCGTCTGGCCCTCCCTCACCGTCTCTCACCATCTACAGTACATCTGGAACACGAGCTTGCCAAATTTGTCAGCTTGACCAAGGGTGGTCGCCGCCTGTTTTCGAGGCAAGTTGCATGAGTCTGTCACTGTCTCAAAAGCATTCAAGAACACACTCCTTTTAGCTCCGCCAGCTGTGACGTGGCCATCGTGGGCGGCGGTGTCATTGGCACCTCCGCGGCGCTGCATCTGGCAGCACTCGGCGGCAACAGAGAGGCCAGCATCTCAGATGGGACACGGGCACTGGTGAGTTGCCTAGACATTGCCTGCCCCGCAATCATTGTAGAAGTTCAACTTGCTGCAGGCATGCGTCGTCTGTGTGCTACACCGTACTAATGTTTCTGATGTGCTTAGCTCCGAGATTGTGGTCTTTGAGCCAGACGCGAAGTACACCTTTGCATCTGCTCCTCGCTCTGCTGGCGGACTGAGGCAGCAGGCAAGTGGGCAAGCTGAGGGCACACGCAAAGCACACTCGCATTGTACTTGGATTTCCATTCCTATGGCCATTTGCTCTGCCAGTTTTCGCTGCCTGTCAACGTGGAATTGTCCCTCTATGGCGTGGATTTCCTCAAGCAGGGTCTTCAAAGAATGTGCGAAGGTCCTTTGACATGATATGCAGTGACGTGCATGTGCGGCATGTGTTTCTCGCGGACGCAACCTGTACTGTTGAACAGGTGTTGATGTGGAGACTGATGTGCAGTTCAAGGATTCTGACATAGTTCCAGAACCGCGCAAAGCGCACACGATCTGTACCCGAGTTGTGGCCAGGAGAATGGCTATCTCCTTCTTGCCACTCCAGATGGCGAAGTGCCTCGGAAGGAGTCAAAGTCCCTTGCTTCTGGCTAAATGCACCGTGAGTGGACAGGAATTTCTTCACAGGGTGTGCTTGCAGCTGGGGTTTCTTTCCTGTGGCTCTGGGTTTTTTTTTTTTTCCAGCGCTTTGAGTTTTTCGACTCTTAGCCGCCGGGGATTCGTCTGGTCCAGAAGCGTGCAGCACGAACCCAACAGTTGCCCAATGTTGAGCTGGAACATCAAGTCGTGCATGAGGATGGGCAGGGGTGTGAAGATTTCGAGGCCGCTCTTCGCGAGAACAATGCTGTTCAACATTCAGCTGGTGCTAGCTGGATCACTCTGCTCGACCCATCCGAGCTGAAAGCCAGGCACCCGAGGGTCGTGCAGTTGAAGCTCCTCCTTGGTAGCACCTCATGTACTTGGCTTGATGTTGGACTCCTCTAGATTCCCGTGGTTGTCGACGGACGGGGTCGCCATCGGGTCCTTCGGTGAACGAGCACCTGCCACGTGCTTTGTGTGGCTTGATCAGGGGAGTGGGAGCAGCCCTGCCTGGATGTGCCAGGAAATGAAGGGTACTTTGATCCGTGGGCACTTCTTCAGGCGCAGCAATGCACAGCAGTTGGACAAGAAGCCGATGGCAAAAATGTTGGAGTCGGTCAGAGCGTCAATGTCAATGACATCATGTGACATCCATGCCAGGCCATGCGCAAAGGAGCAATGGGCAAGGGAGTGCGATTTGTGGAAACAGGGGTGACAGCCATGCGAATGGCGCTGGACTCTCAACAAGGCCGACTGTCCTTGCAAACCAGTCACGTGACGGGTGCCGAGGCCCGACAAGCGCATCACAGCTGTCCAGTTGGCGGATGGCACAGATGTCAGCACCAAAACGGTGGTGAACGCAGCAGGCCGGAAATGCCGGACATGGACAACAAAGCCCACCACAGAAAAGGGTCAGAGCGACAGCTTTTGAAGACCAAGGTGCCTGGGGCGGCAAAGTGTCGATGCCCCGTCGGCTATCGGAACTTCCTAGCAGTCCAAAGAAAGCTGCAGAACTGGTGGACGATGCACATGAAACACCAGTGTATTCCGTACATACAGTGTTGTTTCTGTTCATTTGCCTTGAATACACCGGCTGATTCGCCTCTGAGGGTGGACATGTGCGGTGAAGTTACGCCGCTCCCGGTGGTCCCCCGAAAGTCTGCGGCCTATCTGGCTTTGCTCGTGGCCCGTGCCTTCATGAGACCTGATGAGGCGATGCATCTTCCAGTTTCATGCTGGCATTGAGGAGGGCAAGAGATTGTTTCGTCGAAGCGTCACGCCAGACCACACTTGGATGTGCCTGTCCTGACATGGAGAGGTGGCAAGCGATGGAATGCATCCTCGCCCCCCGGAGAACACGCCGTTGACAATTGATGCCAGTGGCGTGTACTTTCGTCTTGCGCTTACTCACAGCGTCTTGGCAGGCCTGAATGTGGTTACACACACACACACATGCTGTGCTGCTGAGGTTCAGAAGGTTCGCGACACCGGTTCCTGCGCCACGTCTGCAAATGCACTTTTCAGAGGTGCAGGACTTCTGTGAATAGTGAGATGTGTCGCGGTTTCTACGAGAGGTCTGCGCTCCATCTTTCACGAGTGTAGCCCCTGTAGCTTGCCCCTAGCTGCTTTTGATGCGGAGTTCTCTCCAGGTGCGGCGTCAGCCCAAAGCCAGAGGTGCTGTTGCTTTTTCGCTTTCCGAACATTCGAAACATCCAGCTCACAGGCGGATATTGACTGTGATGCAGACTCTCTGGTGGATGTGGACCATGACCTTTTCGAGGAGTGAGGGCATCACAGGGTGGGGTGGAGAGTCGGTTTCGACGCCTCTGCCGACCACACTGACCTTAAAGTTGGGACTTCTCAGAAGCATTTCAAAGTCATCGGATGTAAGATGTAGAGGGATCCTGGCAGGATCCTTCTATCTGATTTTATACTACTATGCACGAGGCTATGCTGAAACCTGGATCTCAATTGGAGGACGTGATCTGGCCTGCCTTGGCAGAGAGGGCTCCCGCCTTTGAGGCAGCTGGATAGTGCTCCTGTGATTGCTTCGCTTTGTCGTTTGCTTTCCACGTGCAGGCAATAAAGGTAGAATCTTCCTGGGCTGGCCTCTACGAGTACAACACCTTAGACCAGAATGGCGTGGTGGGGTCTTCATCTTAGTGACAAGTGAAGCAGCGCTAAGCAGGCAGGGATGCCGGCATGTAGTTGCAAAGGTGGCATCCGGATGTGCCCAACTTGCTGGTTGCATGCAGCAGCCCTACTGGATCCAGACTGCTTGCTATTCTGCTGCTTCATCGTTTAAGTCGTTGGCAAAGACCAAATGCAGACTTTGCTGTCCCATGTGGGTTGCGGCATCATTGCGAAAGCACAAGTGGTGTGCATGCCGTTGACATACATGCCTAAAAGACGGACGATCTGTCATCAAGCTAGCCTTGCCAGTCTTCACGGCGGAAGTACTTTGACAGACTTTGCGTGAGGTGGCTTCAGCGGTCATGGACTGCAACAGGCTGGGGGGACAAGCACGCGAATCGAGACAGCCGCCGGTATCCAAAACCACTGGTGGACGTTATGCTTTCTAGTCTATAGTTGCTAAAAATTTTAACAACAATACACGCTGAGGAGCGAAGTTTTCATCATCGCAAGCATAGATCCCCCCGCCCCATGTTAACCTCACCTCCCCCCCCCCCCCCCCCCCCCCCCCCCCCAAGCGTGCTGAAAAACAACTAAGCAGGTCCCAGAAAAATGCGATTGCCTTCTGCCCCTCCCAGTGGTAGCGTGCCCAAACCAAGATCGGAAAGAGCGGGTACAAGGGTGCCCTCTCATTTTGACTAGAGGGCCTCGGCGGATTGCACCATCCCCGAAAGCATGATGGACGCGAACCCACATGCAGGGTTTTTCTTGTCTACCTTCTTCATATCTTCTGAACTTTTGTTGCTAACGGCTGGCTTGGCTTCTCTATCTTATTGGTTTGTAAGACGAGTTCGCAACTCTTGAAGCTTCGCATGCTTCGCCAGGCCCCAGGAGTTGGCCGGGCAGTTGCTGAGCTTCTGTCCCTGGGCGGGCATGAGCCCGAGCAAAGTCTTCTGGTCTTTTGAGTCAAAAATCTCTGCGAACACTTCGTGAGGTATCAGAGCATTGACCTGTCGGTGCTGGGCTACGACCGCATCGTGCGCAACGAGCCGGTTTTCGAGCGTGGCATCTACTGATGGCCATTGCGCCTTGTACATACCCTTGGCTGAGGTAAACTGGCTCCATTCCCATCTATTCAAACATAGTCCCGCCAAGCTGAGCTCTAGTTGTAGGCCTAAACCTGAGATGCAAACTTGAATGATGCACGTACACTCTCAGTTCATGATGGAGCTAGCTTGCATCGTCGGACTCTAGCTTGCGTGTCTTTCTCGCGTAAAAAGTATCGAGACGAATCAATCAGCCCTGATGAAGGATGAGGACTTTGCCGACAATAGGCATGTGTGAGGCTGGCATTCGCATGTGAACTATTTGTTTTCAGGTCCTTTCCTTCCGAACTCCCGTGTTGTAACATACTTCTAAGCCACATGTTTTCTCTTGCGAGGCAAACCTTCATACTTCATACTGACGTAGAGCCACTGGTTTTCGCGGAGTTGTGCTTGCATTTCAGCGGGCTTACCGCTGCTGATCAAGGCCCCAGCCAGCAGAACAAAGGGTCTAGCGGGATGGGCGCGTGAGCATGCTCGCCCGAACGTTGCGTTGTTGCAGCGCTGTTCCCAAAATCCCACGGGGGATGCTGGAGGCGCAAGCAATTTTATCGACTGTGCCGTGTCAGCTGAACCGATGCCAAGTTCGAACTTCTGGGTGCGGGTGTGCTAATGCTGGGTGCTTTTGTACTTGTGGCTCATAGCTTTGACCCGGGCGCCATCCAAATGCGGCCCCTTAGCAGCACAGTGCCGTGGCATCATGATTAGTGTTCCGTTGCAGACTGCTGCCTTTTTGATATCAATGCCGGTATATTTATGTTGCTTGGTGAGGGTTGGTGGTAGTGAAGACGTGAACCCCAGTCTTATGGAGTGATCGGTCATGATCGGTCCCGAGGTGCGAGCACGCCGAGTGTTTGCATTCGTGGCTGCACTTCTCGGCACATCGACCCTGACACAGACTTTTGCCCAGACGCGAGTCATGGAGGCAACGTGTCAGCGACCACTGAGAGTCCCGGGACATATCCACAGCTACACAGAGAGATGCTCTTGTCACTTGCTGATGCGCATCTGAACTCACCAGCTGGTATGGTGAACATTGGCGAGAACCTTCAATTTCAAAACCGGCAAGTGTGTGAGGTCTCAAGTGGTTACTTCGACTGAGAAAACCGATACGATTCGCTCGTCTACCCTGCTTGTGGCGAAATCCCTCATGGTGAAAATGGTGAAAGTGCCAAGAGTCGTTCGTGGAAAAGCGAGTCAGGCACCAGGAGTCGCAAGCATCCACAGCGGGCTGGTAGAACCGGCAGGGTGAGACTGCGCTTGACAGGTAGACCCGGAATACCCGGGAACTGCCGTAGAACGTCTGCGGAACATCCAGGCAGAGATTGTGTACAAAGTGCGCATGGTGTTTCAGATTTGCATCCCGTCAATCATACACAACTTTGTGCCAGGCACGGGTGAAAAGCCTGAAGCCCGAAGATCTGAGCAAGGACTGGGAGGAGGCACGCTCCTTCCGTGAGGAAGGTTGAGGAATGTTGCACTGGGTTGCTTTGTTGCGCGAGGTTCGCCGCAAGATCCTTTGGGCTGGGGGCTTGAAGGACCTGGCAGCAGAAAATCCGCTTGAGACATTTCACGAGAAGACACAAAAAGCAAAGAAAGAGAAAAGAGAGAAGACAAGATGATTCGTGAGGACCTCCCGAACAACGTGCCTGGGCAAGGCTACACAGGCGCGCGGGGGCGTGCGCTCTGTGCGCAGAGTTGGCTTTTGGAGGGAGAGAGAGAGAGAGGTTCAAGTCACTCCTTCGGGAACCCGCCCCTCGGGGGGGTGGCTTGAGTCCCGCGCCGCTCGATCAAGCGGGCGCCCCCGTCGTCGTCCTTACATCACCCTAATTAGCTTCCTTGGGGGTCAGTTCAGGGGGCATATGCCTGGTATTCTTGCAGGACTTTGTTCCGGGGGGTGCGCCCTAATCCACGACGACAGGGGTGGTCCGCTCGATAAGCAGGTAGATACACACGTAGTGGGGCCGTAAGCCTTGTCTTGACGTAAGAGAGGGCCTTTTGATCTGTGCCAGGTCGTTCAGGGGGCCTTGACCATTTGCAGTTATCGCTAGTTGCAGGGTTAAAAGTAGGGGAAGCTCCGCCTGCCGCCATGGCAAGAGTCGACGAATGGAGGAGGAAAGGTTGGAACGTGGGGTGCCCAGCGTGCCTCTTGGGCAACCTGTACAAGAAGGGCCACGCCTGGAGGGACAACTGCGCCTCGGAGCTGGCCAGAAGAGAGGGGAAGCGAGAGGAGGAGAGTGGAGGAGGTCGAAGGGGCACCCGTTCAAGGAGGAGAGCAAACCAGCCGGGGACGGGGAGATCCACCAGCTCGAACGAGAAGAAGAAAGCACAAGAGGAGAAGAGTGGCGGGGGCGCTCAGGGCATGAACAAGGGGGAGGAGAACAGTGGCAGACGCGATCGTCCTCGGAGGAGACCCAGTGGAGGTACCGCCACAAATAGAGGCGGTGGGAACGGCGACCGAAGACGTGGGGGCGAACCCGGTGAAGGTGGCGGAAGAAGAACGGCTGAGATGAGCGCAGGAAAATGTCACTCTGAGAGTAAGGTGAAGTGGGGGGTGGGGAGTTTTTCGGAGTTTCTTCGACAGGCTTCGGAGTCGTGGGGAGGGGTGTTTGAGTTCGGGAGGGTCTGACAGAAAACAAAGTAGGGAGTAAACAAGTTGGTGTGAGAGGGCTCATCTGAGGTGTGGTGTTACTCGGGGGAATGCGAGCTCTTGGGAGCTGTGTCTTTCGGGGAGAGGGTGACTGGGGGGCGAGGGCTCGGATAGAACGGTGAGAGCTGACAAGGCGCACCGCAATGGAACCATCAGAGTATGCCCAAGGCATCTGGGAATCCTGAGATGTGAGCTTGCTTTTGCCTGTACTGTGTTTAAGTCGCAGGAAGCCCAGCGAGAGGGGGGGAGGACTCAATTCAAGGGTGGGGAACATCTCCCGAGCCAATCCGAGTACCATGCATGTTTTTTCCGCCCCTACCTTCCATTTCCTCCAAAGTGAGGGTTTACGACCAACACCGGTGAGAGTTCAGGTTTGGGTCAGGTTGTAGTGCTTTGAGGTTGGAGGTTGCAGTGACATAAGGGGGCCATTGACTGCAGGTCTCACGTCAGGTCGGGGACCAGGGGACCACGCTGCCGACGTAAGGGATAAAGTGCTGGGGTTAAGAGAGGGAACAGGAACCGGGGGGGGGGGGGGCTTAACAGTCGGCAGAGTACACCCGGGCACCGGACTCCAACCGCAGCCACCCCGAAACAGGGGCGGGCAAAGATGCCCGGGGCGCCGACCCCAAGCCCCTTGGGGCCGTTCCACAGCACTTGTAAGACATTGGGGCAACACAACCTATAGCTCGCCATGGACGCCATCGGTTGCCCTGTATGTCTCCTTAAAGGGACGTTTACAGAAAAGGGTACCTGCGCTGTGGCAAGTGGTGACAACAACAGCAACAGCAACAGCGGGGAGACCATCAGCGACCTTCGGAGAACCCACCGCAGCGAAGATGGACAAGGCAGGAGGGCTCGGAACAACACACTCGCGAGATCACGGTCAAGGCCGCCGCCACTGGACATGCCCCGTCAGACTTGGGGGAATATATGGGCGGAAACTCAGGGGGAAGGCTCGACCATGGAGTGTCGGAGCCAGAACCCAAGAGCCGACCAAGAGGGACCAGTGCCACCACAACACTGAGATCGACGGGGGCAAGCACAGACCGAGCAAGAGCGACTCTCCACCAGCGCGAGAAGGTCTACACCTTGGTGGGAAGCCGAGTGGGAAGGAGCTACGGATACCGCAGAGAAGGGACAACAGACAACAGCCGCAACTCCGAGTACTGAGAAAGGCAAGCCTGAGGGAGACCCAGCACTCATAGATAGACAACCAGTTACAGTTTCATTCAACCCAAATAGCAAGGCCGTGGACAGCAATTAAGGGGTGGGACCCACCGCTACAAACCAGATAGGGACCCCAGGGGGCACAAGTTTCCTTGGGTGCACGTTTTTTGTCCATGAGGCCACCTTTTATAGCGACCCCTCCCACAAGTCTGGGATCTACAAACCAAATCAGGGGGGAGCAGAGGAAAGGGGAAGCTGGTGCAGGTATGGTTCTATGTGTTCCGGCGTTGTCTTGAAACCAGCGGAACCCTCAACTCCTACCCACCCCCACGAAAAGCGTGGGGTGTTACCGACTGACGCTTGGGACTTGCGCGCCCCTAGGGGCAGCTCTCCCTTCGGGGGGGGCTAAGCGTGCAGACAGAGAGAGAGAGAGAGAGAGAGAGAGAGAGAGAGAGAGAGAGAGAGAGAGAGAGAGAGAGAGAGAGAGAGAGAGAGAGAGAGAGAGAGAGAGGTTGACCCCTGACACCATACCCTGGGCACCCCCGTCACCACCTTCACACCCGCAACCGGCCACACACCCACTGACGCGGCGCCACACACCGTGCCACCCACACCCACACCCACCACACCAACCACAACAGCTGGAGACGGAGGACAGAGAACCCACGGAGGAATACCCCTCGCCGGGGGAGCCACCGGACCCAGAAGAGACCACACCAAGAAGAAGACGAACAAAGGGGGAGAGCGAACTACATCGACGAGACCACCGACTACCAGCACAAAGACGAAGGCGAACACACGGGGGGTACGAACCACACCGTCGAGATCATAGATTACCAGAAGGGGGCTACGACAGCAGACGGAGGAGAACGCATGAGGGGGCTAGCAGTGACTAGGAGAACGCACAGAAAGGGGGAAGACAAGGTTGGACATACTGTTGGGTTAGGATTGCCTTGTAGTACGGCTCCGAAGTGTTGGTTGGATAGCGAAGTCTGAACCCCAAAACCCATCGAAGAAACCAGGAGGAAGGGGAAGTCGAACAGTAGCAGCTTCTTACTGAACCCCTGACTCCTGTGTTTTTGGCCAACGAGCCGGGCGCCCTCTCAACACGAGATGGACGTCTTCACCAACTGACCCGAGACCAGCACGCGCCCCTGGGGGCGGCCTCCCTTCGGGGGGGTCATGCATGGGGGAGAGAGAGAGAGGTTGACTTAGGAGGTTGGACGATGGTTTTTTTTGGGGGGGAGGCTTCAGGAGGGGCTCAACATGGCTCAATGACAGGCAATGGGAAAGGTAAGTGAGGGAGTGAATTTGGGGGTCGGGTCGTTGTGTGAAACAAAAAGGGGGCTACACCTGTAGGGTGAGGGCATGACAAAGCCTCCTATGTAGCTGTTTGACTGTGTGCTGCAAAGAGGTTCGGACTCAGAAGCCTGCACCATGTGGAGTTTCTGGGACACGAGCCCGTATAGCATGGCCCATCAACCAGGAGGAATGCGAGCACTGGTGACTAGTGGGGGTATGAGATCAGGGGATTTGGGGTATACTCTTGGCAAGGGAATCAGTCCTCCTGCAGGGGCAGCAGTATCACACCGACCGAGACAGGAACTTGGGCGCGCCCTGTGCGCGGAGGGTGCCTGTGCGCCCTTCAAGCCCCGAAGAAGAAGAAGAAGCAGAAGAAGAAGAAGAAGCAGAAGAAGAAGAAGAAGAAGCAGAAGAAGAAGAAGAAAAAGAAGAAGAAGAAGAAGAAGAAGAAGAATGCGAGCACTGGGGCGCGCGGACAGTGCCGGGAATCAGTGCCCTCAGACCCCCAGGGAAGAAAGAGAGAGACCGAGGGAGCGGTGGAAGGAGTACTTCTAAAGGAGTACACGTAGAGGTTAGTGATCTAGCTTGGATGTAGCTGCAGAGAGACGGCTCGGATGGGGCAAAAAGTGTAGCAGTGTTTGAAGGGTCCGGCCCAGTCAGCGGTGGCGAGCTGGGCAATCGCAATACTTGGTGAAGCTGTCGGCGCAGACGCAGAACTCGCGCGTGCACAATGCGGTGGGGCTGAGGCCCTCGATGCCCCAAAAAAGAAGGAATGCCCCAGCAACGAAGGAAAGAAGGAAAGAAGGAAAGAAGGAAAGAAGGAAAGAAGGAAAGAAGGAAAGAAGGAAAGAAGGAAAGAAGGAAAGAAGGAAAGAAGGAAAGAAGGAAAGAAGGAAAGAAGGAAAGAAGGAAAGAAGGAAAGAAGGAAAGAAAAAACTCAGGAAACAATTCAAAGACATGAGCGGAGTTGTTCGGATGAGTATGAGATGAGAGCTTAGCTGATTGCCTTCGAGAGGCCATTCGTTTAACGACGACAACCACTGCGATCTGACACCGATGCTCGGAGAGGTGGCCTGGTGGATTTCGAGAGGGCAGACAGTAGGGCTTTGTTGGACATCGGCTGGGGGTTAGGTCTTGTGGCTGTTTGTGGCTACTTGTGGCTGCTCTGCTCTAGACTCTGGACAGGGGGAACCTCGAAAATTCAGGACGATCCGCGTTTCCAATGTAAAACTACGTAGGATAGCCAGCATATGCAAGCATAGTTCAAGCATAGTTCAGGCATAGTTCAGGCATAGTTCAAGCATTTAAAGTTGAACAGATGGTGGCCCAACACCGGGTGTAGTGTGCGCAACGGTCCTAGAGGGGAGCGGGGGTCAGCAAGGCCAGAAGCGGGCCAGGGTCCCAGTAGGGCCAAAATGCGCCGGGGAGGGCGTCCTGTGGCACAGGATTTCGGCTCCTCCAAGCGGGTGGGGCAGGTCTCACAGGGCGGAGGGGGGAGGGGGGGGCGGACGTGCAGAAAGTTCTTGGGGGAAGGTTTGGGAAGGAAGGAGACCAGATCCTGGTCTGTTCCAGAGGCCTTTCAGCTGGAAGCTGAGGCGAACGTTCTGAGATGCTAGGAACATCGGCTTGCAAGCATGTCGTTGCACCGTTGCAGACTCAGGGAAGGGCGTGGGTGTGCAAGAATGTTGCCGTGTTGAAGGCAAGGAGAAGATCAGTGTTATTCTCGGTATGCTATACCAGCACGCGTCTCCACGCAAATGCTTCTTCACAAGTCTTCGCATTCTTTGCCCTTCATAGCCGAAGTGCTAATGCTTCCCCTGAGCAGGCAACTCTAATGCTCCCCCTAAGCAGACATGCAGCAACAATGAAGAGTAGTCAATCCCATTCCAGGCCCAGAAGTCCTCAACTGCATTCAAGACTAATGGAAGGCATCGTTACAAGTTCCAGGTGGCGCACAACCTCCACGAGGGCGAGATTCGGGGAATCGCGATGGGAAATCGATTAGGCAAGGGCTTCTTCAGAGCCGAAACTCGTTTGAGATTATGCAGTCGCTGCACAGACTCTTGAGTTGTTTGTGCGTGATTGGTTGTTTGGGGACAGAGATTTAAAGATGTCTTGTGAGAGGTCCTGGCATCGACATTGCAACTTTACCCGAACTTGGTCCGGGAGGATCTTGGAGTGCAACCCCCAGAGACTGCCAGTCTCACGACCCTCACGACCCTCACGACTCCTCACGACTCCTCACGACTCCTCACGACTCCTCACGACTCTCACAGCTCTCACGACTCTCTCAGGACTCAGACTAGTCATTGGTGACATGCTTCCATACACTCTCTTTGCGAGGCACTTGCACAAATGGTTGCCACGTAGAACCGCCGCAGGACAGCTCGCGCAAAAAGGGCTAGTGTAAGCAGGCTTTGGGTCTAAGAGCGCTTTCAAAGTTCACGCGGCCTGCTCGACGTTGATGGACACTTTGCTGCCAGTGTTCGGGTCAGACCTTGGCTGCGAAAGGATGTGGCCCACGTGCAGTTCAGGCGGGCCCTGCTTCAATACAGCAAAAAAGTTCCCAGCATGTTCCCAGCAACATTGCTCTTGAGGGTGTGTCACATGCAGTGAGGGGCATTGCAGAGTTGATGCTTTGCTCTGCCAGGGCCCGGATCGCTTTCAAGCTTGTGTGGACTCCACCGCACTTCAACAGCTTCGTTTTGGTTGATGACAGTGCGTCAGCCCAGAGGGCATCACGGATCCTTTTGCCTTCAAGAGTTTCAGCTTGGACTTTTTGCTACTCCGATATGGAAAAAGGCCATGCGTGGCAATGCGTGGCCTCTTTTTGCATTGAGGTGGTGCGTACCTAAACCATGGGACTCCCACAGGCGTCGGCCACTTGGAACTGTGGTGCAGAGCAGGTGCAGCTGCAAGCACTAGAAGGTGCAGCTGATGCCGAGGCCGTGCCCGGCCTACGCGCCCGGGTCTCGAACTACAACTTGGTCAAAGGAAGCAAGTGCCCCCGTCGCAGTTGAGTCAACTAGGAGTTGGCTTGTCCTTGTCAACAGGAGCTCTGACTCATGCAAACGGGTCCTGCGAAAGGTACGCTCGGGAAGCGGAGGCTCTGTCCGACCGCGCGGCTGGCGCTTAGTGATCGCTTAGCGACCACTTAGCGATGTCCAGAGTATCCATGGAATGATTTCCGATTTTCGCGGCGGCTTCGAAATGCCAAACAGGTGCTTCCGCACTGGGCACGTTGCTGGCTGGGATTAAGGAGACTTGACGCTGGCTGTAGGCTTTCACGCTTCGGGCCCGGGGCAGCCTGCTGTCATGGAGCCAGGGAGCATAAAAAGGTCAGCATCAGCTCAATACCCGAGAGCCTGACAAGCGGTGAAAAATGCGATCAGGATGTTCAGATGCAGTCAGCCTGGCACATTTCTCCCACAGCGCACGTGCAGAAAAGCATGGGGTTAGAGGGCAAGTAGTCCGGCCTAAGAGCAGCCCTGCCCATCCCTACCCTTGTCCAATTGCATCCCCCTACTTCGTCAAGCGCAGCTGCGAAAGCACTTGTGCCGAGATGGGAAGCGAGGGAAGCCTGATCAGAACCGGTAGGTATGGGTATATGTAAATGTGTATATGTATGTGCATGCATATGTATATGTAGATGTATATGTGTATGTATATGTATATGTACATGTATATGTATGTGCATATGTATACGTATATGTATATGCTGGTCATATACGTCCAAGCACTTCTGCGCCATGTGATTTCCGAGAAGGGTTGCTGCCGTAAATGCTTTGACTGCAGCTCGGCAGCAGCCAATGGGCGGCTTAAGCCGTCGGTCAACATCTGTTCACAGCCTCAACCAAGGCTAACATGCCCCAGGACAAAGGGCCCGCTGCGGTGATCTGGGCTTAGCTGGCTCCTTTCAAGTCTTTCGTGAAAGTTTGGTCTTTTCCCGAGTGCGCGCGACTGAGGAGCGGCGTCGTCTCACCTCATGAAATTGACCCATCCCTTGCGACAGAGGCCGGACAGACAAGCATGCAGCGAGAGCCACGGCATCACGCGATATACTTTGGCTCAGAACCAGCAGCTTGCTGAGCCCAAGTCCTTTGCCCAGCCCTCGGCTTCGGCACTCTGACTGGGACGTCGCACAACATTTCACGCATGTTCACGCGCGAGATTCTGGATTCAACGTCGAGAGAGGGCGTGGCTTATGCCGGGGCCACAGCGGCCTTCGAGTGATCCAAATCCCCAAATCCAGTCGAATCACTGCGCATTCACCTTCAGGTTGCTAAGCTTTTCACGAACGACCGCTTGTCACGAGAGGCGGGGTCGGAGGTCGTGCTTCGATGTCCCACCAAAGGCTCAGGATATCTTGGGATCTCTCATGATCGACTTCCAATATGGGGAAGAGCATATATTGCCTGAAGACTCAGAGCTGTCCAGCATTTACGTACCACCCTACCTCAGTCCCACCCACAGGCTTTCACGTTCTTGGCACCGGAGAACATCTCTGAAGATGTGGCTGCAGCCTTGCGGGATACCTTCAATGCAGTGGGCCATGCTTGAAGCTGGAGCTAAGCATGACCACGCATGCTGTTCACCAGAATCACCAGAAAAGCCTGATTTGGTCTTTCGGCTCGAGACCTCCTGAGGCAACCGCTCCTCGGGAGATTCACGCTTCCCTCAAAACTCACTCCGGTAGCGAGCCGCATTTGTCGCATCATTTGGCCATGGTTATTCCTCTGGGAGCCGAACCCCCGGCGGCTATCCCAGAGGTGGTGAAGACCAGGCATGTCTACGGCTGGTATTTGGTGCTGCTCCTGCTGGCTGGCCTGGCCATGGCCCAGGTTGCAGCAGGAGATGCCTTCGCAGGCCTTCTGGGTACTTTGCCCCAACACGTTGCTACAATGCCAAAGCCACTAGGGCCGTGGGCATCATAACAATTCCCTAAGCCCGATCTACACTAAGACCCTACTACTGCCGTACTAAAGCAAGCCTTCAGAACCTTGCAGCATTGCAAGACCCCGCTTGCCTCCACAGGTCTTATCTTTCTGATCATGGCTGGTTTCGTTATTTATTTGGTGCAGGATGCCTGCAAGCACATGACAATGTATTGCCTATTCATGCTGGGAATAATGGCCACCTTTCAATGCTTTTTTGACACGCTGGCACTCATGAGTGTTTTGGGTGGCCGCGAGACCTCTGTATCTTCAGTGCAAGGCACTGAGGACAATGTAACTGTCATAACAAGAATCACCGAGCACCCCTTCTTCGATAAGTCCATGGGCCAGCAGTACAACACCCAGTCTGGCGTTATACTGGCAAGCCCACTTGTGATGTTGCTGTTGGCTTCAATGTGTCGCTCGACCATGTTAAGTAGCGTTGCGATTGGGTGATGCACGGCGCCGTGAGAGCGAATGATCTTGCTGGCCGTGTCTCGGCAAGCCACTCAGGCTACCTGTCCTACAATGCCTTCTCAGAATCTCTCTTCGACCACGACGACGAAGCTGGGCCCATCTACGAAGGTCAGGGCGAACCATTTTGCGAGCCATGTTTGCAATTCTCTGGTCCAAGCCCTGACTCATGCCCTGCAGGTTGGGGAGCCGGTGCGAGATATGGTACCCAAGCAAGCGGGGAGAGGACTGTTTTCTTGGACCAAGAAGGGGTAAGACAAGTACCGGTCTGTAGGAAGCTGCAAGGCTCATCCGCTTTATGCTCTTTCGTCCTGCAATCCAGCCTACTCCCAGGACTCAGCCGCCACCACCCCGGCTGTTCGAGGTTTCGAGCTGTTTTGCCAAAAAATGCAGGATTTGAGCTTACCCGACATTTGGGCTGCACTCCAGGGTGACATGCTATTAAGGGGCTCCAGGTCAATCAGCATCCATGTTCAAATCCTCGCTGCCCTGAGGGCCATGGACACAGGCTGAGCACGTGAAAGTCTGCTGAATGCTTTGGTTTGGGCCAGCCAGTTTGTAAAAAAGGTGCCAGGGGCATTCTGCTTGTGTTGGCACACCGAAGTTGTTGGACGACAGTGGCTTGCTGCGTGCTGAAACGTTGCTGAAACGTTGCACATCGTTGCACTTTAGGTCATCATGGATGGAGAGACGGTTGGAAACTGGATCCTTGAGGTGGGCACCCGCTTGTTCGAAGAGGCAGGGGCGTATCAACATCATACGCAGGCTGCAGTGTGTGTCTGCCCATTCTACTAGCGTGCGGGCCGTGCCAGAAACAAAGGCTGCGAGTTAGGAATGCGAGTCGGAAAACAAAAAAAACGCACCCCCCTCCCCCCCCTCCCCCCCCCGAGCCAGAAATCAGGCGGGGCCGAGTCGGAAAATGGCAAGAGTCGAGTCAGAAAATCTGTTGCCGATTCTGGCAACAGTAGCAACAGGCTGAGAGGGCGCACCTTCCAGCTGTGTCTTTGTTGGTTTTATAGGTCGGGCGGCCGATGGCCGACGCGTGCTTCTGCAAGCTGCGAAAAACTTAAAACTATTTAAAGCTCTGGCTTCACCCGAAACACATCTAGATGCCAAGCTGAAGATTGTAAATCCCAGGCCCCACCGAAATCTAGATGTTAAGCTGTGCCCGTGACAACTTTCCGGAGATTTTCCGACTTGCCGCTTCGGGTTTTCTGACTCGGGGGATCATTTTTTTCTGACTCGCCCCGGGTCGTTTTCAGACTCGCCGTTTTCAGACTCGCCCCGGCATTTTCCGACTAGTTGTTTCTGACTCGGCCACTCTATTGGAATGCTTTGTTTTTCCAATCTGATAATCACAAGCGCTTTCAACTTCAGGGGTCGCTGCCTGGTTTGCCTTCCTGGGAACAAGAGGCTGGGTGCATGCGTAGAGAACATGGACGGGAGCTATGCAGAGACGGTTCAGCTGAACATCTGCGCTTCCAAGCTCGCAGCTCTCTAATCGGGATGTTTTCCGGACGTGAGATGTGCAAGGAATCCCCCGAGTGGCGCGTGTCACTTAAAGCCTGGCCCAGCGCCCAGAGGACCCAAGCTGTGCCCAGGCCCCCAGGCACCCCAGCAATACCCTAATGATGTAATGAAGGCTCCAAGGCTGCGGCCCAGCTGGGGTTGAAGCGGTCCTGTAGTATCTGTAGTCTTTGATGTCTTTGATGTTTGAAGTCAAGTGCGTGATGTCTCGATGCTCAGGGAAGACGCGTTGGACGTGGCTATGGGCCCACAGTTTGCGGAACTGGTGGAGAAGTCTTTCAAGTCTGGGACTTGGAAGGAGAGCACAAGTGTACTCGTGATGCCACGGGCCAGCCTGCAAAGCTTCTTCCTCGAAACCGGGCGCGTGGTGCAGACGCAGCTGCGTAGCTGGACCGTAGGGCTGCCCATGTTCCGTCGCATTCGTCACCTGAGTCCACCGGACACCATCTCCCCTTCTCCGAAAGTTGGGCTTTACATGGTCAGATGCCTTCCCGAGTTCCTAGGCAGGCAGAGGCCGGATTTTACCAGCTTGGCAGGCCGAGCAGGAATTCATGTCCTTGTGCCTGCGAACTACCTGTGTGTGCGTGTGCTTGACGATTCGTCGATTGTTAATGCTATCGCAGTATTTAGCATTCTCGGCCCTCTTGATATCTGGGTTTGCTGCGGTTGGTTGCCGAATCAACTTAACTTGACTTTGAGGTGTTAGCTCAGAGGATTCTCGGCAGGCTGGCGCCACGCCTGGCAGGACTTAGATGGTTTGCAGCTCAGATTCGATTATGACGGTTCGGTGATGTGCGATGCGCGGTCTGAATACGATCCGAGGCTCAGCTGCATGGCTTGGATCCAGTGCAGAACAAGGGCCGTGATGGAGGTCGGGGCATGTCGGGACATGTCGGGACATGTCGAGACAGGCTGCCCCTGCGATATCCTGTGATGAAGTTCGTTGGCCCGGTAGTAGACCTTCTCAGGCCTCATCGGGTGGTCCATCGCTCAGAGAGGGAGCAAATGAATGCTGGACAAAGTCGCGTCCTTCGATGACACGTCGAATCGTCGAAACAAAGCCGAAGTTGTCACGAATTGTCAGAGCCAGGTGGCAACTGCAGTATCCCCACAGTGAAGGCATCCAACGACGCATGTGACGAGGCTCTGGGCCCGATATGGAGATGTTTTCTGTGAGAAAGAGAGGTACAGAGTTGTCTTTTTTGGGTTGGCAGATGTTGACAGGCCAAGCGCTTCATCTTCAAAGCCTTGGACACGGTCGTGTCGGACTGTGGGGAGTTGTGCCACTCTGCGTGAGTCGGAGCCTGTGCATGTTTGCAGTATCCAGTGGTTGCTGGGCGCGCAGGAGCCCAAGGTGCGAGTTCTTTTCGACTTCGATTTGGTTGGAGAGGGAGTCCCGACCCCAGTAGGTGCGTCATGAGTCAGTGGGTTTCTACTTGGCAGCTCTTGGCGACTGAAGGTGTGGCACGGCGGTGGCAAGGAGGAACTGCCGGAGGATAGCAAGGATGAATGGCCGGAGTCTTCATGCGTAAAAATAAATACTCGCTACAGTATCAAGCTTCCTGAATCTGTCGATGCCGAGTTTGGGATGCGCGCTGCTTGAGGCACCGAAGGGCTTGCGAGTTCGACCTTTGTCGAATTTCCCATCAGGCTGTGGCCCAAGATGGCCAATGTTTCTCAGTGCTTCTTGCGGGAGACCTGTGCCAGGTGGAGAAGGCCCCGCCTGCAGACGTGAACGCTTCCATGCCACGCCTGCTTCTGATGCAGCCGTACGGTGCCCTTAATGCAGAAGCTGCCACATTGCAAGCTACGCGCTTGCGCAAGAGAGAGAGAGAGAGAGAGAGCGACCTCAATGAAATTAAGGGGAAGCTTGACCCGTAAGAAGAGGTGGCAAACCCCCTGTAGTAACGAGCACACACAAGATGGGCTCCGGATGTCCGACCTGAGAATGAACTAGTGTGAATTGAAGAACAGTTTATGCTGCTCATCATGTGTGCAGTGGATACCTCCGGGCACCCGCCACTACGGTGGCTCAAGCATGCACGAGGCCAGTCCGAGGCACGGAAAAGAGCTTAGGCTTTGCATTCTGCAGACATGCTTCATGTACCATTTGACTGGATGTTCAGTATACTCATTCTTGAGGAGATACTCCTAAACAGTATCATGATCAGGCTATTGAGCTTGATAGAAGGAACGGCATTGCTGCTATCAACATGGCAGCGGAGCTTGGAGCTCTTCTGTGTTAGCCTTTCGATCCAGGGCACAGCACTTTGCCGGTTCCAGTGTTTGGACGAGGACGGCTTCGCGTTCATGGAGACCAACGACGACAAGAAGATCCCGACCTTTGATGGCCGCCTGGAATCTTACAGAGAGTACAGGCGGCGGGCCCTCCTATACTACTACGGTTTGGAGGGTTCCAAGCAAAGCATTGCAGCGCCACGTTTGATCTCAGCCCTCACGGGCTCGGCTTTCGAATGCTTCCGAGAACGAGACCCCGGAGAATTCAGAAACACAGATGGCGTCAAGACAATGCTCGAAATCTTAGACCTGCGTTTCCAGTACACAGCAGAGCAGGAGCTTTCAGAGTGGTTGGAAACTCTTTTCTACAAGCTGCGCAGACAGCAAGGCGAAGAGACTACAGCCTTTACTACCCGCTTTGAGACCACTCTGGCGAAGGCGGAAGAGCTCATGACAGAGGAATTGAAGTTGGAGAGGAGGCGTCAACAAGACATGGCCCGAGCAGAGTACAGGCGCCAGAGTCTTGACTACATGGTCGCTTTGCAGCAGCACCAGGCGGCCGCAGCAGCAACTGCGGAAGGGGAGACGCCGCCTCCAGCTCCAATTCCTCCGACTCCTCCGAGGGACCCAGCTCCAGTGGTTCCCTTCCGCGTGCCGGAGGTAATGAAAGGCTTCCTCTACTTGCGCCACGTCGGCATCACGCTTCAGACAAGGGCGAGTCTTTTGAGATCGGCTGGCGGTTCTCTGCGTTATGAGAAGGTTTCGGAGTTGCTACGCCGCACTGAGCTCGATGCCCTTGTGGCGTCGCGCGGCAGCAAGGCGGCAGGCCATGGCTACTTCGCAGACTTCGATGACGAAGAGAACGCTGGCGATCAGGAAGACGAATACGATGATGACTTTGAAGACGAAGATGAGTTCGGAGGCTACGTCGAAGACGAGGAGGAAGAGTTTGAAGAGGAGGACGGCCCTGTGGAAGATGGCGATGAAGAGTATGACTCGGCAATGATTGGCTACTTGGAGGGCAGGAAGAAGCTGCTGAGTCTCAGGAAGGCTCGTGGCTTCAAGGATCCCCCTGAAGCCTCGAGCGGTAAGGGAGCTTCGTCGGCCAAGGCGGGGAAGGGCAAGGACGTGCGGCATCGCCCCGCTCGTGAAGGGCGGTCAGGCCGTGGAGATTTCCAATGGCGTCCTGGCCAATCCTCGTCTTCATCTTCGGCAAGGCCCTCCAGTTTCTCTCGAGGCAGGCCCTCCAGCCAAGGAAGAAAGTCAAAGGGCCAAGGGCGGAAGCCCAAGGGCGCTGGCAAGCGCACCGGCGGTCGCCGAGGTGATCCGAATGGTGCTCAGTATCTTGGTTGGGCCGAGCAGTCGATTTTGTCTCCGAATCCTTCTCCCAGCGGAGCTCCACCTTCGAGTTTTTGTCCGGAGTTCAGCTTCATGGTTTTTCCACGCTCCTTGCAACGCATTTCAGAGTCAGAGGTTGAACGTTGTCTTCTTTGGGATAGGCAGCTAGGCTTGGAAGCCGAAGCGCCAGATGTAGAACAGGCTTGTCTTGCAGTTCCCCCCGGCCATGCCATTGTAGACACTGGATGCACGTCTACGTTGGTAGGGTCTGAGAGCGAGAGACGCTGGAATGAAGAACTGCAAAGACAATCCGGAGGAAGTTTAAAGGCGGAACGCGGGCCTTCAGATGTTAAGTTTGAAGGGATCAATGGCGAAGCTCGGGCAACCTATCAGGTGAAATACCCTGTCAGGATAGGTGGCCGCGATGGGTTTATCAATGCCGCAGTGATTCCCGGAAAGGCCCCATTTTTGCTTTCCATCCAAGCGCTTCGACAGATGCGGGCTAAGCTGGATTGTGAGAAGGATGTTTTAGATATCCCCGGCATTGGTTGTATCAAGTTGGCCGTAAACGCTGTGGGTCATTATCTCCTTCCAATGTTCGATTTTCATAAGACCCCTAGCCCGCCACCTGGTTTGGAGCATAGCTTGTCCGCTGCAGCCGAGGCTGATCTCGGTGGTCCGGAGGATGAACAGCAACTAGTGGCCGAGTCAAGGCCGGGACTATTGCAGACGAACAATGTAGTTCATCCTCCGGAACCCCCAGAAACTTTAAGATATCAGCCAAAATGCACAGAGCTTTCGAAGCGAACAGACAAGCTAGCTAAGAGTGTAATGTTAAGGCTAGCTAGGGATACCAAGGGTCCTTGGGTGAAGCTACCGCAAGAGCTTGCTGCAGTGCATTTAATTTTGGGTAGACACGGTTTCGTGTGCCCTGATGTGCCCTGGCAGATCCGGGCTGCGCAGATCGGCTACCGATCAAAGGTGGTCAGGCGGCCACCGGCAACCTTGCTGAGAGAGGCTTGCGTGTCAGTAGTGGCCTTGGGTGACCGCAGTTTTAGGGTACTGAAAGATTGGACTGAGTGTGCCAAATGCGCGGGTGAACCGCTTGCAACGGAAGCCTCTGATGCCAGACTGTTCCTGTTTGTGTTTGCAGTAAAGCCACAGGACAGTGTTTTGTCAGGTGAGCCAGTTCATGCATGTTTAGAGCAAGGGTTCGCTGCAAGTTCGTCTGAGCTCGGGAATCAGGCTCTGGTGGCAGGTCATGTGAATGAGGAGAGACGTGATGCATCTCTGACTTTGCCTGTGCTCCAGAGCTCTGAGAACAGCGAACTAGAGTACTTAAGCTGCGAAGAGAGTAGTAGCGATGAGCGAGTGCCAGTGTGTGCTCCAGGAGTCAACCGCCCCGCCAGGTTACGCTCATGTGGGCATTCACTTGGTGGAGACATTCTCCAACGGCCACGGTCAGACGTGGCACTGTGCGACATGCCGTGGAAAGTGCAAGGTGTGTCGGGGCCGGTTGGCGAAGCTCGTGCGGTCAACCGGGCAAGTGACATACACTCACCGCAAGGATTGCGAATGCACCATGGTTCCAGGACCGATGGCTACCTCGCCACATGCTCCCTTTGTCACCGGAGATCTTATCCGAGTGGCCGACGCCGAGGCGTACCTCCCGAAGAGCAAGCATGTGCCGTATCCGTTCGATGTCCGGAAGATTACAATGCAGAAGCAAGAGGTTCATCCGAAGACCCTGCCCCCAACAGCGATGGCAGCTCCGGAGTGGAGTACTTCGAGATCCATGGACAATGTGGAAGCGACTCCGAAGATCAAGGCAACAGTGACAATAGACCAAGTGCAAGCGATGCGGGCAGAGGCGAAGCCAAAGGCGGCGCCACCGATGACATCTATGCCGTCTACGGGTCCTTTGGCGCCAGCTCCAGCTTCCACGCCGGATATCAAGACGGTTTTGGATGCTGTGAAGACGATGATCCACCAGGAGTACGGAGTGCAGCCGCAGACCACAAGCACCGACGTGCCAATGGAGAAGAACTTCATCGAGCAGGCCATCGAGCTGGAGGGTCAGGCTGCCGAGCTCCTTGCGAAAGCAGCATGGTTGAGGCGCCAAGCCAGTCAAGCGGCGCCGATGCCAATGACAGCGCCGCAGGCCACAGGACAGGATCGGAGCTCCGTCGAGACCAGCAGCATGGCATCTTACCAAGGACTGTCCCGCGACCCCGACTTCTCGGATGGCTGGGAGCAAGTGCTGCTGCGTTAGCTTGTGTTGCAGAGCTGTGTGTGCCACCCAAGCCTTTAAGCCCTGAGTCTCGGGAGGAAGGCTCGCATTTAGGTACTGCGTGGCCTAGGTTGTCACCTGAGGTAGGCGTAGAAGTACCAGTGAATAGCGATTTGAACCTCCCGCAGGCATGGCAGGCTTGGGGGCCACTTGATATGAACAAGCGAGCAACAAGAGCGCAGCTCAAGTTGTGGCTAGGAGCTCAGGCATGGAAGATTGATCGCGGTTCCCATGTAGGCCTTATCGAGGTTTACACTGGATTGGGTCGCCTGAGTGATGCGCACGAGCAGCTGTGTGATGGCTCGGAAGCCATTCGCTTGGGATACATGTATGGCCAGGAGCTCCGGTCCCCTGAAGGTCAATGGTTCACGCTCTCGCTCATTGATTTGTGTCAGCCCAGGGACGTTTTCGTATCTTTCCCTTGTAGGGGGTGGTGTCGATGGTCCAGTTTTAATGAGCGAAGAGATCCTGGGGTCAAGCTAAAGGTGTTGCGTGAACGAGTTGAGGGCAGGAAGGATTTGAGCCTCCTATTTCAGATCTTTGAATTGCAGTCCCAGGGACAACGTCACACACATGCTATGAATCCACAGTCCTCCTTAGCGTGGTCAGACAAGAGGTTCGGTCGTTTGAAGGTACCGCATGGATTCGTGACGTTTGACCAATGTGCCCTAGGACTCCTCCATCCAAGAAGCGGTCGCCCCGTCAGGAAGTCCACAACCTTGTTTACTACATCGTACGATCTAGCAGAGCACATGTCAAGGTTTAAGTGTTGTTGTGAAGTTACCCATGATAGGGCAGAAGAAGGCTTCCAAAGAAGGGCAGCGACTTCTTGGTGTGAGGACTTCTCCCAAGGTCTTGCTGAGGCCCTCATTCGTGGAATGAGGCCAGACCTAGTGGTGTCGGAGGCC